CTTCTGATGAAGGATTTGAGTTGAGTCGAGTCACTTGCTCGCAGTGACCCGAGTCAAGTCCAGTCAGTTACCCGTTGGGACTCGAGTCAAGTTGAGTCAAGTTTTTTTATCTTGAAAGGGTTGACCTTTGACTCTATTCATTAGGCCGAAAAAAAATAATAGGTCTGCTTCCGGTTACCCTACCGTACATGTACCTACCCTATTTGTCAGCCCCTACCCTAATTTGTTTTGGGGAAAATGAGGGGGGAAAACGCCGAAAACAATAAACTACTTCCTTTTACCCTGTACTACACGGGCACACCTCCATATGATCGTACACAAAAAAAGTCAAATGCCATGTAATCGGAAGCAGAACTATTTTTTGTTTTGGCCTTGGCCAACTTTCCCAACCCAATCATATTCACGTGTCTGATGATAACATCAAAGTCTGAAGCATACTACATGTACGCGTCTTTGTTGTGATGCATGTGACAGTGAATAGAAACTGGGTACATGGTTTTTAATCTGCACTTGAATTTTCTTCTTTTCTTTTATAATTGAATCAATTAATTAATATAAATTTCTAAAAACCTACCACTTTGTAACACTGGGACCCACAATTAATAGAATGACCCACATGGATAGTACAACAGTGGTAGGCATAGAGGATGTTTTGACAATACAACAGGCCAAGGTAACTATTATTTTAATTTGAACCAGAAAAATTAATTAATTAATACTGAATTGCTTCTTTGAACAAGCTTGATTGGAAATATCCTATTGGAAGCTGCGGGCCAACAAATTCGTGTTCATGCATGAGTCCCGTGATTGTACCATGTAATTTCTGGAAGGAGTAATGTTTTGAGTTTAAAAAAAAATCAGCTTTTTAACCCCAGTGACCCCATGATGACCTATGACCCCAGTTTGGTCATGTGACATGTTGGGGCTGGGCTACTGATACTTTTGACAAAGTTTGGATGAAATTGGTCAAAATATGTACATGTAGGAGCAATAGACAATGTCATCATTTGTTTCTAACCAACTATACGGACTAACGGCAAGACATGTTGATTATTGAGCTGCTATCCCGCAGCTAAAAATAAATGGAATTCGACCAAGCTTAACAAAACATAAGAAACTTTGATTATTGAATTTGTCTAGTGCTGCTTTTGTTTTTGAAAATGCTCAGGGACCGATTCCACGAAATGCTAAGACGCGTCTTAGGAAGGGTAACTCCTCCTAATTCGCGAGTCGTCCCATCCTGGGCCCAGGAGCAATTTCACCAAACGTAAGACGTGTGCAACACGTCCTAAGTTCCTTAGCAATGTAGCTAAACTCGTCTTAACTTAAGATCAGTCTGAGGGTTGGCTTATTAATGCGTGTGTTAATTTGTATATCGTCTGGAAATCATCGCCGTTAAAGGCAAGTGTCGGCTTAGAGTAACAGGTTCGAGGATGAAAACCGCTGTAGAAACAGATTTGGAAAGACTCCTTATACGCGGGTAGTTTTGATAAAAAATAGCTTATTATTTAATTATAGCCTACGCCAACACTTAATCAACTTTTTGATTTAAATAGAGTGATGAAACGGGGAGCAAGAATGACTCTATCGTATCTTGAGTAGAACTATTTTGAGTTAGTAATTTTTTTCTGGAGAAAGTTCGTCATCTATTTATAATGCATGCGTGCGGGAGCGGGAGTGCGAAGCCAGGCGCTGTTGTTGCGCATGCACACACACTGTACGAGTCGCTGGTGGCCAGCATAAATTGCATGAGCCTATTGAATCACTATCAGTGATACAGGATATACCAACTGAAAAGCACATGTACGCTTGTTCGTGTCGTGGCGCTATGACTGTCATTGGTCGATGATTAGCATTATCAGCCTTGTGTCAGAGACGTTACACATTCAAACAACAATACAATACCACAAAAAGTAAACTTTTAAGTTTTAATAATCTACATGTATCACAATGATATATTTTCACAAATAAATGGACTGATAATGACACCATGACACTTACATACACATGTAAGTGTTGGAGAGTTTGCCATGAAGCATTTGCGTGGTTATGCCGGCTTATCCACTCAGCATGTCGTGGTTGAGTTGCGTATTTTTGGGTTTGATAATGACGTAATACCCAACATAAATCTGCGGTTTTAGTGAATCCCGCATGTTTTTTGTCATGGTATACTGCAATACCGTCCAAGCCTATTAAACATTTGTGACTTTGACAAGTCTGATCAGCTGTTGCCAACCGACTATTACATCATGAATGTTCCAATGGTTGAAGCAGAATTAATTGAGGATTCAGGTAGATTTCTGGAATGGAAAAATAGTTCCTCTAATGTGGGCTTGGGAAAATCTGCAATATCACCCTCAGTCAAACGCGCCAAGAAGCTTTCAGCTTTTCTTCCTTCATCTGAGTTTGAGTGAGGGACTGAAGGAGGCAAAAAGATGGTGGGAGCGAAAAAATGCTGAAAACGGGTTCAAGTTCAAAGGATTTTGTGGATTAAGGGTGGAAATTGGTCTGTAATCGGGCAGAAACAGATCCTGGAGGCACCTGGCCTGGTCCGCTGGTTCAATTATCAAAGCATTTACATGGATTAGAGCTTAGTCTAGGGTAAGGAGGGGGGGGGTTCAGAAGTGACCCCTGACCCCCATTAGTCTGAGATTCAGACGTTCAATGCAACAGTACAACTTTTTTTATGTGCCCCCATGCGCCAGCCACATCTTTACAAGATGTGACGTCATTTAGAGCAGAAATTTGGCCAAAGCTGTTGATTGGTCAATTGCTGCCATATTTTGTTTTTTTTGTACGACATCAGGTTGAAGACGCCCACTAAATAGTCAGAATCTGGAGGTCAAGATGCAGTGTAGCTGTGCATGATCTGAAAAGCATACATCATAGACACTTGCATCCATAGACTAATTAAAGGGACACTACATGTAGGTCCTCGAACAGCCCAATTGGGCTACAAAACGCGCTTTGAACAAGATGATGATAATCGGAAATAACTTTTAAAAGTAGGGTATAAACATCCACACAAATATCCTTTCAAAACTGGGCGTTTTTGTGCTATCCCTGTATTATGCGTGCGAGAACAAATTTCGGGGTCCACTTTTGCGACCCCATAAATTCGAATTGTTTGGATGCTAGTTGTGATTTCATTCGTACGCGTAAAGTGTTCGCCTTTTGTGGACGTTGAAGAAACCACAATTTTTTGCATTGGTGATTGGTCACCGCGCGCTGTTCCCGGGACACACAACGTGTATAGCGTACATGACAACGACACGAAAAACGTATTCGTAGGCCTACTCCGTCATGTCCGATGTAAACAAGCGGGGTTTTTTTGTCTTTTTTCGGGAACGGTAAGACATTAGGTTGGTTTCCTTTCAACCAGATGTTTGAAATAGGCTAAGTAAACAATCCAAAACATAACATTTTCGGGGATTTCAGGACCTAGTGCCCCTTTAATGCACGATTAAATTCTGTTCAGAAATTTATTCCCTGCGCTGTATCCCCAAAATAAGCACCAAAACAAAACAATAATCATGAACAATAGACCCTTGCATAGTAGTGTTGTGCAAAACCGACCCAAAACCGACCTCGAGTCGGGTCGGGTCAGTTTCAGTTTTGCATTTGCGATTTTCGTGTCCAGTTGGGTTGGTTAAGCCATTTTGGAAAAACCCTTAATGAAATAATGTAAACCAGAAAAAAATGAAACAGTTCGGAAATTCTCACAGTGCAATGTATATTACAGAGTCACTGTGCCCAGTACCACCAAAATGCAGTCTACCATGCACAGTTAGTAACATGAAGACCCACCAGTTGGTCACGTTGTGAGTGCCGTACAGTATGATTCAGTGACTGAGAGATGGTTTTCATGCGAGGCGGGTAAGTTCAGGCACATAAAAGTAGACACAGTTGCCCAAGCCAGATATTCGGTGGGGTTTTTTTTGGGGGGGGGTTCGGTTCGGTTTCGGGTCGGTTTGGTTTCCCTTGAATTTGAGTCCCGTCGGGTCAGGTAGGTTTTAGGGAGTTCAGATCGGTGGGTTATTTTTAAGGGGTGGGGAGGGGTTTGGTTCGGTTTTGGGTCGGTTCGGTTTCCCTGAATTTGAGTCCCGTCAGGTCGGGTCGGGTCGGGTCGGTTTTTAGGGAGTTCAGATCGGTGGGGGGGGGGGGGGGGTTTGGGGGGGGAGGGGTTTGGTTCGGTTTCGGGTCGGTTCGGTTTCCCTTGAATTTGAGTCCCGTCAAGTCGGGTCGGGTAGGTTTTAGGGAGTGCAGATCGGTGGGGGGGGGGGGGGGGTTTGGGAGGAGGGGTTCGGTTCGGTTTCGGGTCGGCTCGGTTTCCCTTGAATTTGAGTCCCATCGGATCGGTAGGTTTTAGGGAGTTCAGAGCGGTTTTGTTTTGAATTCGGTTTATATCTTCAATGTTTCGTCGGGTCGGTTTGGCCTGGTCAACCCGACCCGATGCACAACAGTACATCACACATGTACATGATGTGCTTCGTTTACAAAGTTTACAGGAAAGAATTCCATACATGGACATCACTCATTTTTCCCTGCGATCACCTATCAGCCATCAGAAAGCGATAAATGTCCTAAAAAGTCAATTTAGTAGGAAAAATACTGAAGCATTTACTGAGAAAACACTAAGAATTTTTCAGACAAGTCTCATACTATAGGGTTTGTGCACAGGGTGTCAAGTGATGTCCAGCTTTGGAATTCTTTCCACTCCAGGAAGGGCTCTATAACTAACTTGACTTGTGCAGTAAGTGACAAGTCCAATTTTCGTCGAGTCTTTGGTAAGTCAAGTGCAAATAATTAATTAATAAAATGTTGAACTTAGATGAAATTGTTACTTTATTTGTTTTTACCATGTCCGCTTTTTTTTGGGGGGGGGGGAATTGATTCACACAAAACGAAGGAAAAAACACTTCAGCTTGTTACAAAAAAAATAATAATGTTACAATTACAATGCTATTGGAGGCAGGGCGGGGCTGGGTAATGTATCTTACCATATCTGACATTGTTCCACATTGAGAGAATTTTTGTCTTCATTTCTCTGCTGAGATGTCTTCCGCATCCTCCTCACCATCACGCTGCATGACCGGCTCGGATACTTGTTGAGAGAGCATCGCATCATCTGATGCCGATCGCAGAAACGGTCTGCTTTTGTCAATGGCCTCTCTGTATTTCATTACAGAGGCTCGGTCGGTGGAGTTGCTGCGGAAATGTTGGCTGTCCGACAGCGAGCCCTGTCGCGATCGACTTTGGCTGTGAGTCCGGTGACTTCGTAACACCTTCTGGTTCTCATTTTCTACGGTGGAATCTACAGTCTTGTGCTCTTTGCTCTGAAGTAAACTTGGTTTCACTTTGCCATGATGAGATTTTTTGGTAGCTGTTGTTTCAGACTTACTACTTCCACTATTTGATGCAGGATTCATGTTGAATGTCTTTATATCCTTCCACAACTTTCCAAAGGATGCATTTAGTGAATGGCGTGTACTTTGTTCTTTCGGCTGGTTGCGTGCATGGTGGGTGGAATGTACGTTTTCTGAAGGGGGATCGTATTCCTTTTTTCGAAAATCCTCGCTAAGTGGTCTTTTTGTTTTGGAAACGGAATGCTTTTGATAGAGATGGGGTTTTTCCCGACGAGGTCTGGCAGTTTCTTGGTTTGCACTACCCGTGTTACCTGCAGTTCTAGTTGTTTGTTGCGAGGGTCCTTCGTTGCTCCCGTTCCCTTCCGTATTTTCACCGGGGCCGCTCCCTTCCGCACCGCCCGCCGCGCCCGGCCGCTGTTGTTGTTGCTTGCCGCCGCCGATTACACTGTCGTTCATATCCATAATCTCGGCAAACGTCTCCTTAGTGCTTTTCCAAAACTCTGACATGGGTTTGTTTAGGAACTCCATTATTCTATGGATGACATTTCGACTTTTCAGTGGCCAATGCAGTTTGAGAGAAGGTTGAAAACGATGGGATATTGAGTTGTACACAGATAACCTTCGTCCATGTCATCTGTCATACACGGTGGCAGCCATGTTGAATTTGGATCAGCTAGCTGATCATGTGACACATCGTACACGTACAGTCCTACGCAGCTAGCGCACAGAGTGCAGTACAGCAGGGACACGCCCCCTCACAATTAAAAACATAAACATAAACATTCCCCCCCCCCCTCCACCCCTCCCTTGCATTTATCAACGTGTAAGAGAAGGGGAATACCGGGTATATTCACATTTTCTTTTCTGCCCCTATTTCACGTTACGTAGTCATTTCATTATTGTGGTGCCATTCAATTAGAGATGTGAACTTGTTCTGGAACTGATTTTTTGGAGAAATGAATCACATTTGCGGGGGGGGGGAGCACTTTATTATTCTGGTGTGCTCTAAAGGGGTACGTAAGCAACTCCTTATAAAAATCTCCCATTGGAATAACATGGAAAATTGGCCACCATGTAGCATGGGACTTTTTCAATGGGATTTTTCCTAATGGGATTTTTCCCATGGGGATTTCCCATGAATGGCTTCAGAATGATTCCATATCATATTTCCCAAGAGATTCAAAATTTTCCCACGGAACTTTTCCATAGCAACTTTCCTATAAGATATTTACAATTACATTTTTACCCCATGTGATAATTTTACTGTTCACCCAATGGGGATCATTCTCCATCGCGGGACTCGATGGAGATTGTCCCACTCAATGACCAATATATTATTGCTCCTTTCCACTTTTCAAGTTGTAACATATTATTACCGTGTTCCCAATTTACTTTCCAGTCATACTTTTCAGGTTGTACCATTATTATTACCGTGTTCCCAATTTACTTTCCAGTTCTTACTTCCCAATTTACAAGTACCGAGTGGTACAATTAACATCCGGCAGCCGGGTGGCAGCGTGGCCGGGTATTAGGCCCCCTTAACACAGGGCTGCGACCTTAGTTCAACCTATGAGCGACCAAAAAATGGCCAGGACGGTCAATGGTCGCTAAAATGCTTAAACCGAGAAAATCATATTTCTATGTAACTGCTCCATCGATCCTTGTGCATCCCTTGAGCGGGGCCGTATCATAAGTCCGACGCCTCATAGGTCCGACGCAGGCGTCGGACCATAAGGCATACAATTCCGCCTCATAGGTCCGACGCCTCATAAGTCCGACGCCTCGTAAGTCCGACGCCTCATAAGTCCGACAACGGAAAAACGAGGCGTTTAATTTGTCGGACTTACGAGGCGTCGGAGCTATGAGGCGTCGGACTTATGGGCCTTTATTTGGTTAGGGGATGCGATTTTGTCGGACTTATGAGGCGTCGGACCTGAGGCGTCGGACTTATGAGCGGACCCCCTTGAACCACCCAAATTGTCGGGCATTTTCATGTCGAGCTACAAGCGACCTGTGCGTCCACTGAGCCAATTGCCTGCCTCCCCTGTGCTTCCCCTGTGCAACCTACGGCCATGGTGGCTCAAGGGTTATTGCCGTGGTCGCCGCGCCGAATGGAGCCACAGCGGTCGCCAGACTCATCGTTCAATGCACGCTAAGTTGGTTGGCCAAAATGAGGCACAAGGGAGGCAGAAGCATCGCCCAGATTGACGGTAAAATTTGCAACAGAACAGATCTATTACGTGGCGACGGTCAATGCAACAAAATATGAATTTTGAGGATAAACGATATTCAGATCACCGTTGCAAATCATCGTCAACTTAAATCACTTGTATCTCGAAACACACATTTTCCACTTTGCGTGGGTTAAGGTCACTTCGTGGTGACGATGACGGTATATGACAGCGAGACTGGGCACTTTTGTTAGCCTGGGAAAATCTGGGGAACTAACCCCGCCCCCCCCCCTCCCCGTTTTCGCCGCCCCTGTAATTACCTGAGCCGAGTCAGGATGCTGATTATTACTCGAGCCGAAGGCGTTGGTAATAATCAGCATCCAGACTCCAACCGGTCTTAAACATATTGTTTAATACCGACCAAGCACATGTTACCAAAAAAATCAAAACTTTTCGGTCCAAAACAAAACAAGTCAAAATTGAAACTTTGAGTTCATTCAATAATTTGCTCCAGCTCGCAAGTAAGTCGTTCTGCGCGATGTCGCGCAGAACGTAGCTGTGGCGGTGCGTTGTGAATTTAGAACTATGAAATACTGACTCACTGGTAGTATTGCGCAAACGTTCAACCAATAAAACGGTAAAAGGCACTAGATTTCTAGGACACTGGAAAAGTGTTTAAGACCAGTCAGCCGGTCTTTTTTTTCCTTCATCCGTTTAAGACCGGCCACCACGTGATGGGCTTTCCACCACTAGCAATGGGTAAACTGTTTTGAATAATGTATAAATAGGGGTTAACACACCCCGCTTTTTTAATTGTGGTCACTTTCTCAGTAAAAAAAAAAGTGCATCTTTAGATCGCCCTTGATCCAAAATCTGGCTACGCTATTGCTTTCCTGGTGCTATTTGCAAGTTCAATCCATTAAGAGTAATTATATGTTTTTTGTTTTTAAATTTAAACTGTACATGTAATAGTAATACAAAAAATTATTTACATCGAGTGAGACATCAAAAAAAAAAAATCCGCCAGCGATTCATCATCATCATCAGTCTCCAAATCCAGCTATGAGACGTTGAGCCACCCATGCCAACCGATCAGTCGAGATGAGCCAAAAGGCAGGGGCTGACAGAGCATGGTCAGCCTCAAGCTGTCGCACCCAGGTATTTCGGGGTCGGCTGCGTGGTCGTGACCAACCAGGATCAGGCTTGACTCCTGTAGATGCATCAACGGCCAGCTTGAGGGCGGCGTGTGCTGGGGTGTTGCTATGGAGTCGACGAATGTGCCCGAAGATGGAGTGACGCCGTGAAGATATAATGCAGCGAATATCCTCCAGCCTGGTTTTTCTGAGAGCTGGCCTCGTTGGTGATGAAATCAGAGCATCTCACCCCAAGTATGCGGCGTTGACAACGCATATGGAAAGCTTGGAGTCTACGTCCATCCTTCTTGAGTAGCGTCCATGTCTCAGATCCATATAAGAGGATTGGTAGGCACAGGTGGTGTAGATCCGGGTTTTGATGCGGAGAGTGAATAATAACCCTACGAAAAATAGACTTATTTGCAGCCTCTAAAGTAACCCATTACCAAACAAAATTCAGTTTTTATCCAGAAGTTATCAGTATTTGCATGTTTCGTTGCACAATACAACCGCAATCGTTGTTATTTTTCCCTTCATTTTAGACGTCCGCCACCCTCTAAAAAAACTGTGTGAACTAACTGGCTGCCGGTCTCTACATTATCAATACTGATTGCAGGGCTGGAACCAGCCCACCCCGCAGGAAAAGAATAAGTCGAAATTAGTTCAATTCAAAATTGCAACGTAATGGAATATGTTGGGGATAAAACTAGAAGAGCATCTTGGTGAATGCATCTTTAAACTTTATACTGCATTTGTGTCCGTACTTAAGTTTTATTTTTTTTGGGGGGGGGTGGAAATAAAATTTAAAACATCCTGACTTTCCTGACCCCCCCCCCTTCATATAGCGAATACTGAAAACTAGTCGACCTATATAAAGAAGCTATTGATATGTTTTTTTTTTCTCAGCATCCGGCGGATCAGGCGATAGGGTGATCTGCCCCCCCCCAAAAAAAAAAGGGGGCAATTTACTTTTGTATTGTTGGAATAGAAAGAAACTGATACAGTCCGTCATAGTTCCGGAGTCCGCGTCACGCCGAGTCCAGTCCGTTGTTGTCCCTTCAGAGTCACGTCCAATACTATAGTAAGCTGTTTACGTATAGATCAGTCAAGTGCACCTTTTCAGGAGAGTGAATAGATCACAGTAGGTGAAGCCGATATGATCAAGTTTCCCATCGATTAAAAGAATCATCGTGTGTTCTGTGTTGGTCACTATAATTAATGTTAAAGGGAAAATACAACATTTGCAAACATCAAAAAATAAAACTACCAAATCATTTTGAAATACCTTGCTGGACTGTTAGTGAATGACAGTGTAAAGCATCCTGTAAAATCATGGCACCTGGTATACTGTCATTTTCAAGAAAAGTGGTATTTTTGTATCAATTTCCAACGCTGATCGGCCGATCAGCGTTGGAAACAACTGGCTTTTTTTTAAATACTGGCCCCAATTGACCATCGCACTTGTTTGCAATCGATTACAAACCTATGAACGGGTACGAGCCAGCTAGACTGGTTCCCTGACCTTACAATTCCCCAATGTATATGTAAACTGCTCTGTTTCTTCTTATATGGAGTCAGGGAACCAAACTACAGGAAAATTATCGTTTTTCTTGGTTTTATAGCATTTTCGAACCTAAAACCTCAAAAAAGTCAGTGTAACTATGTTTGCTATATATTTCCAACCCCCCCCCCCATTCCATCCATTTCTGAAAAATACAGCAAAAGCAAATGATGTATATTCCCTTTAATCTGTTTAGCGAGATATAGGCGCTACTTATTTAATCATACAAGGTGATAGTATGTTTAATGATTACTTCAATTACATCAAATTTGAGTGATGTATTGTAGAAACATCAGACTCCAGTCCAATCCCTTCCCCTATGCCCGCCTAAGTAAAACTCATCGGGTCTAGTTCAACCCGGTGTGTGGATGGAAGCAACTGCAAGCGCCTGTCTCTACAACCGCTCGTTGGGTCGGTAGAGAGCAATCCTTGGCACAAATTGTGTCGATCGAGACACAAATTGTGTCACAAGTGATAGGCGTTGTAGTGAACTTCTTGCATACTACATTATTGGGAAAGCGCTAACCTATAGCAACATTACCTTCCAAGGCGGGAAGGCGACGAATTCATTCACTGATTTTGAGGGAGAGGTATAGCAACCACACAACCGGTTGGACAGTACAGGGGAAAGAAGACGAACTACCGTCAACAAGCACATCAGATGTGGAGATCGACGAGAGAATTGAGCTGCTGGAAGCAGAACTCCGCCTTCTTAGGGCACGCCAGCAAAGCAGTAATCGGAGGAAGTACTCAGGCTTCGGAGGGTCAGCGTGCACGTATAGTTGACAACCCATTTTGGTAATGTCTCGACTATGGAATTACTTACGCCTATATTATTCCACCCCGGACGAGGCCGACTCCAAAACCACGCACCAAACTTCAGAGCACATCTGCCCGTCTCCCAGCACGTACGTCTGGTACTGAACAGCAGAAAGAAGCAGCCTAGCTATGATTAGACGGCAGCACTCGGACTTCGAGTGTCGAGACAGCGCGGTTCGACCAACTGCATTCATCAGAGTGGCGGGCCGGGGTGGATGATCCTGTACCGGCGACAAGGAGTAAAGATGAGAGCAAGTCCCTACCAAGGGGTGACACCCTGCAAGACAGAGGTATAACATCAATCAACCCAGCGTCATGTCAAGACGACCCGGACATTATACCGGACAGGTACAATGGCAAAAGCCCGGCGAGAGACTACAGACAACACTTTAACATTGACCTAGTTAGGAGTTAAACTTTAATGCATAATTTCGCCTTTTGTTTTTCAGATGTTTAGGTCAAGGGACTGACCAATTTGGGGGCATGGCAAGTAGCGAAGTTATGGTCATAGTTAGGGCGCCCTTTTGTAGATAAGCTAACAAATTTTATTTACAAGCAGTGACGCATGCTTTTAGCTGTGTGGCGACCGGACGTCTTCCGCTGTTGAAGACTCGAACACGCTTCACGTCTTCAGTCCAGACCACATCATTCCCATCATCATTGATTACACTTTCACCGCTTCATTGCAGGTGATGCTATTGCAGCGTGTCAACGGCCATCACCAGGAAGTAGACGCATTCTTTTAATGTCTGTGCGTTACAAACAGCGCCCCCAATCGTTTAATGACCCCCTCCCGGCCCCCAGGCCTCCCACCATCGATTCGAATTTTGCACGACTGGCCTCTGCCCGAACCAAAACAATCGGCGAAATGGCCGAATTTGTTTTGTGTGATATCAAATTTGCCGCGCCGACAGACCAACTGAGACCATCCGTGCTGGAAACCCAGCCAGGAGATTTTGTCTGTAACCAGGCCCGTATAAAATCAAACGTCAGCCTGTGCTGGACGGTGGGGGGACTTCCAATTTTTGTTTTGACATGTCCCATAAAGCTTGTGCACTACCGAGGACCCAGGTTCACGTCTTTGGGGTTGGCAGAAGAACACATTAATAGAGTCATGAACCGCCAAACAAGCACCCACGGCATGCCAGAGAGGGCGGCATCACCTTCGTCCGGCGCCAGTATAGTCAGGGATGCATGCATGGTAGCAAAGAACTTCTTTCCTTATGAGCGGGCTGACAAGCCTCGGCGTATATAAAACATACACACATTATCGCGATCACATAATATCAGTTAAAGCTTCAATCATTTTTATATGATCATTTTTCCATCAGGTAGATTGGGTTTTACCCTTCACCGACGTAAAAACTTATTTACTATAGGTGATGACATGTCCGACACGGCTTCTCAGCAAAAATGTCATAAAGCATGTCATGTTCAAGTAGGTCTTGAACCCAAGACCTTTCTGGTACAGGAGCGTTAAATTAATAACCACTCAGCCACCGACCGTTGCAGGGGTCTAGCGGGAAGGTCACAAAAAGCAATAATGATAGGATCATCCGGCTTTTCATGCATTTTATTCGTTTCCAATATATCACTGCTCAAAATTCACATAAGAATGTTCAAAACCTTAGGCCTATACCTGATGAAGTTTCAGCTAGTTGATATTACAGTTTTTGCAGAAAACAGTGAATATAACCGCGATCATTTTGATTACGCAACTCGATTTCGTCAATAGAACGAAAATTCCAAAAATCTGTCAATAAAAACTGATCGATGGAAATCACCTACAGTTCTGGATTCCTTCTAAAAGAAAGCAAGTAAGACAATAACTTCCCAATAATTTCACAGGTTATTAGTACCGTACCAGTATACAAACTTTAATCAAAGTAAGCAATTTGATACAAATTCGGTTACTTTGTGGGATATATTGCAAATGATCCTATATGCCTTTAAATAAGCGGCTACCGCAATATTTTTGATGGATCTAGTATTATTGTAATCAAGTGTCATTTGTAAATTAGCATAAAAGTCGACGTCTGAAAAAAAAGCTATTCCCTAATTTTGTAAAGGCCATCTTCGACAGGGGTAATCAATATTCATAGGCCTATATAAACTTTAGGGGGGGGGGGCAAAACAGAAGTACTCTGCGCTGAGTACGATCCCCAGGGGCTTAAATACCCCCCCCCCCCCCCCCCCCTATAATTTGGGACTGTCTATTTGGGGTCCGTCATATCTGTATTTGTGTCACCATAGAGCTGTATGTATAAATAGGTAGCTCTGCTGATCTACACGCCTGTGTGTGTGGGTGTGGGGAATAGTCACGCACGCCCCCATAACTACGTCTTTCCATTGGCTAACACGGCGAGGCTCAAGGTCACGCACTTTGGCCAGTCGCCAAATGCAGTCTGGCTCCCATCGATCATGTCAATGGAAGTCTACTCTGCGCACTGGGAACCGAATTCTAGGTACATGCACATGTATACGCGGTATTGATCGCACATTATGTCATGCTAGGCCTATGTTGTACGGTTTCGATGACCACAAATTCTGTGGTAAATTCATGTCTGTGAGTTAGACGCAAACCAAGAGTTTTATCACTTCCTCTACAGGGTCATAATCACAGACACTACAGTCTAGGCCAGAGTTTGTCTAACTGTAGAGTTACTGTAAGTTAGCTAGTTCAACTTCAAACGTGCGTGCGTGACACCGAAGTTCCGAATCCCTCAACGAAGTCTTCGCCATTGTTGTATTGTTTGTAAATTTGTACGTGCATGACGTGTCACTTCGTGTGCGCAACTTAACGTGTATAAATCTGAGCCGAAAAACAGCTGGTGCCAACGACGAGTGTTTACGACCAACGGATGTTATTTATACAAAACCACGAAGAAAATGGCTCTTAGCAAAGATGTTGCCGATATTGAGGTATGTAGGCTTGGTGTTTGTTCAAGGTTTATTTGCAAAAAAAAAACATGACTTTGACAATCATTGACAATCATTTGGGACAGAACAATTTCCACTTTTGTTTGAAAAAGTTTACACAGAAAAATTCCACAAATCCCCCTTAAAATAAACAATGATAAAGACATGGTCCAGACTAGCCCCATAAATGTGGCCAATTTACTGGACTACCTCCGTAAATAAAGGCCACACTTGGAACATGTACCAGAAAATGTAGAACTTTGTCAAGTTTTTATTTTCACATTTAGACTTTGTTGTTTATTTATGCTTTAGAAATAGAAGCACACTCACCCCTTTAAAGCGATAGAAAATTAATAAAGTCTAAATGTGAATATCAAAACGTGACAAAGTTAAATGAACAACTTGTTGTTCTGTTTCTAAAGTGGCATCAGGATACCACATTCATAGCGATTTTGTCCTACTTTTGCACACAGTATTTTGTGAAACTGTTACATTGTTATTGTCATTCATCTCATCTTTCACATCTTCTGCATTGGATTGAACTCTTTTCAAATAACACAGTATCCATATATTGTTAGTTTTTTATACCATGGTATTACTTTGTGCAATTTCATTGAACAGTTGAGAACCATTCACGTTATGTTATGCAAAAATCCATGACAACCTTCCAAAAAGTTGGACGAATTGGAATCACTTGGCTAAAAGTTACACTCAGTGCAAAATGTTGAAGAAAAAAGTGTTTTTTAGTTAATATTGAATTGAGACCTCAAACTTGGCTGGTGAAATACTGAGGCCCTTGTCTTGGACTCATGAAAATTTTGGAGAATTTAGTGAGCCAAACAGTGAGTAAGTTGGCCTGAATTTGTATAGGGCTCGCTCAATGACAGCCATCTCTGTAGGAGAACTACAACTGCGTATTTTACGCAATCAAGCACGCATTGCGCAGTGTTGAAATGTTCCAAACACGCGCGCTTGTTGCTCAAAATGTGTTCAAAATACGACGCAGCCAATGCACGTTATGTAAGTTGATGCTCAAAATGCCGATGCCTGTGGATGGTCTGTAGGAAATGACGTCATTTGAACGAGACTTATTGCATGTTTTTTGCAACTCAAGTTCCCAGTCCGAAATAGACCAAAGGTGATGTTTCCCAAGGCAAAAAATGCTCAAATCCACAACGGATTTTCGGCCTATTTACATGGGTGCACCCTTCAGTACTGCATCAATCAACTGTTCCAAAAGAAACAGTTGGCATGTCTGGTACTAGTCTCTATTTCTACACATTTTTCCATAGTCAGCCTTCAGACTAATGACACTGAATGAAGAGGTCAGTCTTTTCAAATAGTTGGACCATGGTTGGACATGTACCAGTCTAGTCTTTAACCTCATTTTGAAATCACTTGACTTCCCTCTCATGTGCAAAAAAAATTGAAGAAAAGTCTCCAAAATTGAGTTTAATCTTCAAAGTTCAAACTTGGTTGGTGAAATACAAGGACCTTTCCTTTGCCAATGAAAATTTTACAGAATTTTGCAGGCTAAATAGTGAGTAAAGTTGGCCTGGTTTTCGTTTTGCATGTTTTTCAGCACTCAATGTCTCAGTGTTTCTTTTGCATACATGCTTTCAATGATTCGTCCCAGCACCGCCCAAAAGTGCCCTGCCTATTACTCCTTACACCGCCCCAAACCGCCCCAGTATTCTGTGGTTTTTATGCAAGTGCTAATGGGTTTAGATGCAACGATATTAAGTGTTGGAGTAGTTGTTTCATGCATACATGTAAATCTATTTGCATTACCTAGGTCTTGTGAATTACAGTCCCAACTTTCAGACTACATGTAGGTTAAAGGGAAAATACAACATTTGCAAACATCAAAAAATAAAACTACCAAATCATTTTGAAATACCTTGCTGGACTCTTAGTGAATGACAGTGTAAAGCATCCTGTAAAATCATGGCACCTGGTATACTGTCATTTTCAAGAAAAGTGGTATTTTTGTATCAATTTCCAACGCTGATCGGCCGATCAGCGTTGGAAAAAAACTGGCTTTTTTTCAAATACTGGCCCCAGTTGACCATCGCACTTGTTTGCAATCGATTACAAACCTATAAAGGGTACAAGCCAGCTAGACTGGTTCCCTGACCTTACAATTCCCCAATATATGTAAAGTGCTCTGTTTCTTCTTAAGTGGAGTCAGGGAACCAGACTACAGGAAAATGATTGTTTTTCTTGGTTTTTATAGCATTTTCGAACCCAAAACCTTAAAAAAAGTCAGTGTAACTATATTTGCTGTATATTTCCAACCCCCCAATTCCATCCATTTCTGAAAATTACAGCAAAAGCAAATGGTGTATATTCCCTTTAAAAAAGGTAAAAAACAAGTATCAGAAAAAACAACCCACTGCACAGTAAATTACAAAACAGAGGTCAGTTTGTGTTTACATAGTTGATAGTGGGGTGAAGCTTTTGACCTGGACACATTGTAAATCTCTAAACGTTTGTTTACTTAGATAACTGTATCATCGATCCCCAGGTCCCAATAAAGATCCTTCAAGGTTAATATGGTCAAGAGAATCTAGAAACGCAAAATGAATACTGGTTGGTTGTACTTAAGGCGAAGTAAAAAAAAAAACAAGTTTCTCGTCCCCGCCCGCTTCCTTTTTGGAGGCCGCCTGGATTTTTTTATTATTTTTTATTTTTGAAAAATGTAGTAGAAAAACACTGAAAAAGTCTACAAATTCATCGGAAAATAAATACCAATACCAATACAACTCTAAATGACACTGTAAATATGTTCAGTTCTCTTGTCCAACTTGTCTTTCATCTTTAAAAGTGTCTTTGAACAGTGGAACACCAACGGTTGCAGGAAATTTTGAAAAGGCGGTCATCTTGATAAAAATTAAAAATAAAAAGCCCCGCTCCTCCCTTTTTTCAAAAACCCCGGACGAGAAACTTTTTTTTTTTTTACTCGGCCTAATACAACCAGTTTTGTATATCAAACTTTTAACAAGGTAAACAAAATTCCATAATGACAAGTCCACTAGCCAAATGCTAGTCAAAACAGCAGTGGGCTAGTCAAACTATTCTTTATTAGTAGCCCGGCTGGCGAGTCAAAAAAAACAGCAAAGTTGAAAGAACAGGAAAAATAAATCATTAAATTCAGACAGCAAACCTGTAGTAGGCCTATCAATTTGTCATATCTAATTTTATATCTAGGGTTATATCATAGATGTTTGTTAAACACACTGACAATATCACCTCAGGATACACGTTTTACACGTATGCACATTGTTGTTAGTGATGCACTCTATAAAAAAAAAAAATCATGCAGGCTTGTGAAATTTGCCTGTGGGCTAGTAAAGAGTCTCTTTCTGGCTGACTGGTGAACAAAAAAGTGAAGGTCGAACCCTGCTTTAAGCATAACAATAATTATAACCACAGCTATTCAGCAACCACGCATTCATACACACTGAGGACTAGGGCTATTGTTATCTTCCTGTTCGTGACCAATTCTATAGCATACTGTAGCGTTCAGTGCACCGAGAAATTCAAGCAAACAACTGGTAACAACTTCCCCAGTTGGGGTCAGTGGCGGTTGAAAATTGCGAAGCGGAAACTTCAACTAGGCTGGTACTTTCAAAACCAATGACGCAATTTTATATTTCATGTACTGGTAGTACTTTCAAGTTTCCGTTATAAAATGGACAATTCATATCAATATTAGAACACAACCATTGTGAATATTATGTTTACTAAATCCTTTGCGAGATTTTGTAGTTAGATAGTATTAACATCATGTGTTCATGATGTGGATTTGGGACTCGCGAAAGTTTGAAAGTTTCAGTGAACAAAAACAGCCATAATGCAATCTTTTTTTCAAAACCAAGTTGAAGTTTTGAACTTTTTAAATTGTTTAAGAATGACATATTCGTAGTAACCTTGTGAATGGTCTTTCGTGAACCATTTTACTGCGGTTCATTATTTACGTTTTTGTCCACGAAGCATCAGAATTTTGCTTAAAAACGAAAATGGTACAATAAAGACATTAGAGACAACACAGATTTAAAACTGACTCAACCTTAGCTCAAGCATTTTTTTTTTCTGTTTCACTTCTTTATGTTTATATGCAACGTTTTTCTGGGCTAAACTGTAGTTTATGTGTCCTTCATTGTTCACACAATTGCAGCTCTGCCCACTACTTGGCAACCCTGCAAGGCAATGCATGTCTCAGCTCTAGACCTCATGGAAAGAACGGCTCTGGGGGACACATTTTGTGCTCTTATGCAATTTTTAGACGCTTAGTGGACAAAAACGTAAATCGGCTACCGCAGTAAAAAGGTTTACAAAAGACAAACGGTAAATGCGATTTACATTGTACTTCATCTGTTCACACAAGGTTACTAACGAATATGTCATTCTTACAAAGTTTTAAAATTCAAAACTTCAACTTGGTTTTGAAAAAAAAGATTGTTCCTGCGCATTATTGCAGTTTTTTTACTAACCCTTTATAAAGAATTTGAATACAATGGAATACTTTTTTAATTTAAAACTTAGTGTATTAAAATTGAGACGAAGATTTTGGCTTCTCCCAGTTTTCTTTGATTATTCCCCCCAAAAAATCACAGATTTTGCCAAGTGATAAAATAAAACTGCCTCAGTTACAGGAACTCAGCATACACTGCATGGCATTTAAAAAGGACACAAGCGTCAACTGTCTAGTTAAAAAATATTATGAAGTTACACAAAACGAACATATGGCGATGGCTCTAATTGAGGATCTAGAATATCTTCAAATTACATGCTTCATTAAACAGCTGATTGAGTGATTAAAAAACACTCAGCGCACACTGTATGCAAAAAAAAGGGAAATGCCATTTTACCAAAAAGTACAGATGGTGACAGAATTTTTTTTTTTTTAACCAAAAAATCATTCAAATTTCATGCATCATTAATTTAACCCTCCCTATCTGGCTGGCAATTTCAACAAGGCCAGCCCAGCAGTCCAAATAAATCAAGTGACCTTTTTAACAGTTGAGTGCTCCCTGCCTGCATACAGCAGGATTGACTGGCTGTGATTGTTATGAAACCTGATATAGCTATGCTGGTGGTGTGCATGTACGGGTAGTACCGGAACGGGGTACCCAACTGAAAAAAAACACCACGGGTACCCGTTAAAGGGAAAATACAACATTTGCAAACATCGAAAATAAAACTACCAAGTTGTTACAAAATACCTTACTAGGATGTTGGTAAATGACAGTCTAGAGTATCCTGTAAAATTATGGCACCTGGTGTGAAGTCATTTTCAAGAAAATGGTATGTATATTTGTATACATTTCCAACGGTGGTCGGCCGACCACCGTTGGCAAAACCTAACTATTTTTCAACTACTGCTCCAAATTTACCAATTTTTTTTTAGTCTAAAGTTTGTTTTGCTATTGGTTACATGTTCATGAATGGGTGCAGGCCAGCTAGACTGGTTCCCTTACCTTACAATTTTCCGGCATTTTTTTATCCATTTCATCTTTAGTGGAGTCAGGGAACCAGACTACTTGAATATTTTTGTTTTTCTTGGTTTTTCCAGCATTTTCGAACACAAAACTTCAAACATGTCAGTGTAACAATATGTGATCTATTATACTAACCACCCAAATAGTTCATTTCTGAAAATTACAGCAAAAGCCAATGATGTACATTCCCTTTAAAAAACCCAATCCCATAAAGGTCTGAACGATAATACTACCACATCTGTGCATCAATGCAAGTGTGTACAGTAAGCTTTATTTATAGCTTACGGTGTAAATTGCAACTTTCCTGAGCAGCAATCATAAACGTGAAATATGTTTTGTTTTCCTGTATTTTGAAAACTCCCCACGAATGACATTCAAAACCTTTCATTTTTATTGTCTGAGAAGTAATTTGTAAAGTTGGTTATGGGTACCCCATCCCATAATCTAAAACCAGTTCCTGACGTCAATGGTCGGGTCAGATGGCAAAAAAATAATGACATCTAAAAATACATATACATGTATACTTCAATTTGAATGCTAATTATGAGCTAAAGTACATTAACCCTTACCCCAAGAGGTTTTCTCTGGCCACCCTGCCAAATGCAACAAAATGCAACTCTGCTGAAAAGAGAACCCTGCTAAATGCAACAAATTGCAACAGTGGTTTCTGTTGCAATGTGCAGTGAACCCAATGCATACCAGCCTTGGCACCAAGCAGTTGCCCTGCTAAATGCAACCAACTGCAACAGTGGATTATGTTGAATTGCCTTGGACCTATGAGCAGTTACCCTGCTAAATGCAACAAAGCACGGGACTAGAGTGTACTGCTAAAAAAATGCAACAGTATGCAACAACTGTTTACCTTTGTTGCTTTCTGTTGCATTTAGCAGGATAAGGGTTAAGCTCATATTGAATTGTCATTAAGAGCCTGTGTCAATTAGAATTCTGTTCTGTATTTTCTTCATTGAAATTTATTTGTTGTGTGGATCTTAGGCCAAAAAAAAAAAAATTACTTCTGCTTCCAGTTACCCTACATGTACCTACCGTATATTGACAGCCCCTACCCTAATTTTTGTGTGTGAGAATTTAGGGAAAAACAAAACAAAACCATCATTTACTACCTTTTACACTTGACTACACGCAGACAACTCCATATGATCGTACACAAACAAAATTTGCAACAATAAAACATTTCCCTACCTACATGTCCTACCCTATTTTCAAATGCCGTGTAATCGAAAGCAGAACTTTTTTGCCTTTAGCTACTTACGTAAATTCGGCTGCAGAACATTACTTGTACAATGTAGAACATTTTTGTGAACACCTTTTTACTCACTTGAATAGTCTTCATTAACCTATATGTCCCCATGACTTTTTGCTAGGATATAACCTCAATCCTGCAAAATCCTCCAATTGCCTCCATGTAAAAATAGCATACAGCATCAATCCTGCAAAAATCCTCCGTTATTTCTTAAATGTGGTCCTTGGAGGGGTGACCACAGCCCCAATCCTGCAAAATCCTCCAGCAATCACTGTCAATATGTTGAGGCAGAGCCAGAGACATCCTGGAGCAGTGCAGATGATTTCAAGTGTAATATACATGTAGGCCTAAATTTATGCACGGCTGAGCAAAAACAACACATGGTCCGGCCCAAGACCTTGACACAGTGCATCATCCAAAATCAGTCATACATTTTTGCCATGTAGCCTCAATCCTGCAAAAGCCTCCATTTTGCATAGAGGATTTTAAAGGATTTGGGAAGGTTAGTGTTAATTAACCAGATAAATGTGTATTTTGTGTTGACTTCTTAATTGATTGGCAGGTGCACTGCAGTAGCCTGAATAAGTCAGGTACCCGCTAGTGTTTCAGTACTGTTGCCATTTCATCTGCTCCCCTTGGAATGACATTTTCGAAAAACAGGATAATTCATGGTTTTTGTTTTGTTTCACCACAAACTACAGAATCTACTGGCGCTGAACCCGCGAGTGTTGAAGCACGCCAGCGTGGTCACCACCAAGACGACGAAGGGTAGTCGCAAGCATTGGAAACGCAATGGACCCCAGGCCTGTGCGGTAAGATTATCACGGAATGCATCTCTAATCTCTATTAGTACCGACCACATCCAAATTGACTACATTTAGAGCCGGGTCATGCTTCGCATGGATGCAAGTGCAAAGTGAATTTGATGTTACAAAATATTTGCTGCGAAATTCACTGAAGTTGAAATGCGTTAAGCTTTTGCGAATTCGTAGCATGAAAACTTGCAAACTTGTTTGTTTTTTCTGTGTTATACATACGTAACATGGACAGACACACTGCAAGGAAAAGGGTGCTTTAACAGGACAAAGTTTCTAATAGGCACCTTCATTTGACATTATCAACCCATCTTAATTGCTATCAAGCGAAAATTTAACAGTTATTGCACTGGTTTCAAAGTTATGATGTGATTAGGGTTATGTACGAACAGGAACAGACTTTTTGTGACAAATGTCCAGTCTGGTCGTACGTATAAATCCTAATTATAAAATATCAAATAATTCTTCACATTGACTCCAAGTTTTCTAGGTTTTGACTGATGGCATTCCTCCAGGGTAGGCATCTTCTTAAATCAGACAACATTAGGGGATCATTAAATGTTACGCTTGCTTTGTGACCTTATCTAAAATGTCTGTCCTTCGTTACGTACGTAACGCTTTTAAAAATAAGATCCACAGTACGGTATTTTCTAAAATACAAAACCAGTTATATGGTGAGGATAATTGTTCAAAGCTTGCAATGTTTATAGCAAAAACTGAGAGTCCAATGTTTATAGTTTATAGCAAAAATTTAGAGACCAAGATCCTAGTTTTATTATTAATATATTATTAGTGGGGTGCTGTGGTCCAATGGTTAGGGTGTTCAACTCGTGTGCCGTGGTACACGGGTTCGAATCCTGACCGTGGGAACGTGGTGCTTAAGTGCTCTTGAGCAAGGCACTTTACCACTATTGCCTCGTCCTTCGGATGGGACGTAAAGCCGTAGGTCCCGTGTGTTGTGTAATGCGAGAACCCAGTAACACTTGTCGCTAAGAGAAGGGGTTCGCCCTGGTGTTTCTGGCAGTGGCCGCAGCACCTTGTAAACCCTGGTGCCACATAATGGGTCTCATATTGGACTATCTAGGCTGGTCCCTGTCTGTCATAAGTGCCACCTGCAGGCCCGTCGCCAAGGGGGCCTGGTGGGGCCAGGCCCCCTTGGCAAGCACTTAGCGCGCGCCCCCCCCCCCCCCCCCCCCCCCCCCCCCTTGGCGAGCACTTGGCCCCCCTTGGTGAGCACTTGCCCCCCAACGGCAAAAGCAACATATGTATTTTGTATTTTTTATGGTAGTGGGCCTCCCTAGTTGGTACTATGGGCCCCCCCCTGAACTCAGGCTGGATTTAACCTATTATGGGGTATACAATAGCACTCTCTTCATCAGCCAACTATGGTACCAGGCTAAATCTCAAGTGACAGTCAGACAGAGAGTCAGTCATTCAGTCAGTCAGGTACAAATTAAACTGTCTAGGCTGGTCCCTGTCTGTCATTAGTGCCACATGCAGGCCGGTCGCCAAGGGGGGCCTGGTGGGGCCGGGCCCCCCTTGGCGAGCACTTGCCCCCCCCCCCCCCCCCCCCCGGCAAAAGCCATACATATGTATTTTGTATTTTTTTATGGTAATGGGCCTCCGTAGTTGGTACTATGCCCCCCCCCCCCCAATGCTCACGGCTGCAATGGGCCTGGCCACATGTCTATTTTGAACATCAGAATTTTTTTTTTTTATCCCCAAAGAAACATTTTGAAAAACACTTTTTTTCCCAACAGACATGTGGGGATCTGGACAACAACTTTGACGACATCAAGCACACCACGCTTAGTGAGAGGGCAGCACTGAAGGAGGCCGCACGATGCCTGAAATGCGCCGACGCGCCCTGCCAGAAAAGCTGCCCTACACAGCTTGATGTCAAATCTTTCATCACCAGTATTGCCAACAAGGTAAGTGGACATGTCAGGTTTTAGGGGGGGGGGGGGGTCAAGTCCCCCAACTTTTTAAAGTGGGGGATATCATATCGTTTGTCCCCCCACTTTTTTCGTCCCTGAATAAAAATTGTAGCCTGTATATGATTCTATAGCTCAGAATAGCTGATTCAATGACTCCAAACTTGAAAATGATGTTTAAATGATAATCTTTTGCAAATTTTTTTTGTTAAATTGGTCAGAAATTGCCTCAGATTGTACCACAGAGGGTCTATAATCCAAAAATGTTTCGGGGGCATGCTCCTGTTCCCCCCCCCCCCTCCCACTTTTTTGTCTCCAAATAAAAATTGCAGCATGATTCTATAGCTCAGAATAGCTGATTCAATTATTCCAAACTTGAAAATGATGTTTAAATGATAATCTTTTGCTGAAGAAAACTTGTTAAATTGGCCAGAAATTGCCTCAGATCGCACCACAGAGCGCCTAGAATCCACAAATGTTTGGGGCCCTTAAGCGGGCCCCGAACCCCATGCCATTAGCGCTTCACGCTTGCATTAGTTCTGATCAAGGTATTTCCCCCCCCCCCCCAAAAAAAAAACCTTTGAAAAGCGATTGATGCCCTTGGGTTTATTGGTTGGGCAGGCTTTATTGTGCCAAACAAAAGCTCTTGTACATGTATGTCTAATAAAAAAACCGCATATGACTAATGCACTTTTTACCAGACTGCACACTACAATGATTATATACACAGTTCACAACTCACATACTTCTGTAGATCACAATACAGCAGTGTATATCTTATTGTTCAGCATTAAGTGACATGACTATTTTGTAATTAACTGTGGCAGGTTACGGTCACACACCAATGAATTCAGAAATCCGTACAGTCATTTTTAGCAATAGAATCTTTCAAGCACATCTTTGGGTTGCATTTACTTTCATATTTGAGCCTTTGTATTGCCATTTTGAAATTTATTTGTGGAATTCTGTGGTTAGCAGGGCTGTGCAATTGGACCCTGTATTAAATCAATCATTTAGTGACTGTTTCGAGCCCTACCTGCATTTCCTGCCTAGCCCAACTTCTCAGGAATTTTGAGCTTCAGGAATTTGATACAATTACAAAATTTCCAGGAATTAACATGAATCAGTCACAGACGCAAATACCAGACATAACACGCTTCTTTGTAGCTGATTACATGTGCATGTATAAGTGGCCCGTGCCATCAAAATGTGTGTATGAAATCAAATAATGATTTGGTTGGTAACTCTTTTTTTTTTCAAGGTTTCAGTTAAAGGGAAAATACAACATTTGCAAACATCAAAAAATAAAACTACCAAATCATTTTGAAATACCTTGCTGGACTGTTAGTGAATGACAGTGTAAAGCATCCTGTAAAATCATGGCACCTGGTATACTGTCATTTTAAAAAAAAGTGGTATTTTTGTATCAATTTCCAATGCTGATCGGCCGATCAGCGTTGGAAAAAACTGGCTTTTTTCAAATACTGGCCCCAATTGACCATCGCACTTGTTTGCAATCGATAACAAACCTATGAACGGGTACGAGCCAGCTAGACTGGTTCCCTGACCTTACAATTCCCCAATGTATGTAAACTGCTCTGTTTCTTCTTATATGGAGTCAGGGAACCAGACTACAGGAAAATGATTGTTTTTCTTGGTTTTTATAGCATTTTCGAACCCAAAACCTCAAAAAAGTCAGTGTAACTATATTTGCTATATATTTCCAACCCCCCAATTCCATCCATTTCTGAAAATTACAGCTAAAGCAAATGATGTATATTCCCTTTAAACAGATAACAGTTAAAGGTAGAGTACATTGTATTTCATTTGCTGCTATCCAAAAAGTAACTGACAAAGATATTGTTCAAAAGCTGACTTGGTTTAAAGATAGTAATGGCACTAAACTCGCTGTGAAATTATGCTTTCTGGCATGCTGTCATTTTGAAGAAAACCACATCATTATAAAACCACACACTCTGCAGGAGCTCCAGTATACAACATGTGTTAAAATGTAACAACATATACATGTATTTGATATTTTAAAGGGAATACAACATTTGCAAACATCAAAAAACAAAACTACCAAATTATTATGAAATACCTTACTGGACTGCTAGTGAATGACAGTCTAAAGCATCCTGTAAAATCAAGGCACCTGGTGTGCTGACTGTTTCAAGAAAAGTGGTATTCTTGTAATAATTTCCAATGCTGGTCGGCTGACCAGCGTTGGAAAAAAAAATTGGATTTTTTTCAAATACTGCCCCCAATTTAGGCTGTTTCTCTTAAAGATCGCCACGTTTTGACCGTTCCGGTCGCCGCGTTATTTCCGGGTTGCTAACGACAATACAAAACACGTTTTCACTGCAGCGCAATCACTCAAGCGAAGGCAAGTTTATAAGATAGGCGTGGAAAGTGCGCTATTGTTATGTTAATGAAGTCAGGAATTATGATTTACTATCCGTCCAGTACGCGGTGACCGTTTTGATTGTTATTGTCAATGTTTGAGGGATGTCACGAACCACGGAGGTTTGCAAATGTGATTTAAGACGGAGAATTGGTTATATATCAATGTTGTAAAAATAACAGAAATATAACCTCAAAATTTGTTTTACAATTAACTTCGTGTGTGTGTGTGTGTGTAAAAAACAAATGCCTTGTCAGAAAAGGTTTTTTATTATGACAAGTGTATCAAATCCATTGACTTTGCGCAAGTGATGATACGAATATCTTGGTCTGCTACACTTCATTTTTATTCTTTTTCCTCGGCAGCCCATTGCGTTGTACGTGTAAAAACATGTACCATAGTTCTGTGATCAATATACGAAGTAGGCTTGTACGGTATTGCCTTGTACTATACCGTGGTATACCGTGACAAAAAAACCGCGGTATTCACTAAAACCGCGGTATTATGTTAAGTGGGGTATTAGTTACGTCATTATCAGAAGAAAAAATAACTAACCACCAGGCACCACGCGCCGAGTTGATAAGCCGCCGGCGCAGCATAAATCACGCAAATGCTTCACGCCGCAAATCTCCTACACTAAAAGTGTCTTGGTTTCATTATCAGTCCATTTGTTTGTAAAAACAAAATATCATTGTAACAGATTATTAAACACGGGAAGCTTACTTTTTGTGGTATTGCATTTTCGAATTTGTAGGTCATTGACTTGACAAGGTCCACTAAAAAATAATGCCGATCGTCGACCGATGCCAGAGGCCGACCACGCGACGATCCCCCGATCCTAGCGAACGTATGCTTTTCAGTTGGTATCCATTGTGAGTGATTCAAAAGGCTCATGCAATTTATGCCGGCCACCAGCGACTCCTTACGTGCTTCGCCGGTGTCATGTGAAAATCGGACTCCTATAAAAAATATCGTACTCCTTCTCACGTGATCGGTCCGTGATTGATAATAGTAAACATCACAACGTTACGCATGCGCAATTGTGGACGCTGAAATATGAAGTTGTCGGTGCCGCGACCTTCATAACGAACGGACCAATCATTCCAAAACATGAATGGAAAATGTTTCGAGCGCCGTTTTAGATGGCCAATCAGCTTGATCTACACAGTGCGTGGGAAAAAGCACGTGCAATTGTGCTTGTGGGGGCGCGGCCCAGCATGACGGGCGTAGCTTTACGTGTGATCGTGCGGGCATTACGGGGGGTTTTCCCACGGTGAGAAATCATGGCTCTTGTATTACGCTTTCTTTTGGAGCATTTTCTTTTCTGGATTTTTATCTGGACGACTCGGCATATTCAGGCGAGTCCCTTGCCTTTGAACGTCGGTACCGATGAATAACTAACGGACCAATCGAACCAAAACATGAATGAAAAAATTGTTCCGAGCGTGGATTTAGATGGCCAATCAGATTCTTTTAAAAGGGTGTTTGACCATTTTTCATCTCACCATCGTCGCGTCTCGGTAAAACCTTCCAAAAAAAAGGCGAGTGCGGACACGGCTTTAGATCGATAAATGCAGTGGGTGGGGAAAAGCACGTGTTCCGACTCTCTCTGTGCGGAACCAGTGTGGGACCACGTGTATGCGTATCATGCACTGGCATGTACGGCCACGCACATGACGCACATGACGTAGGAGTATTCGGGGAATTTCGTAAACACTAAAGTGTACGCTTCCAGATCGTACAAGAGTTTTTACCCACGATGAGAAATCATTCGTTGGAATATTTTCTTTTCTTAATTTTCCCGGACGGTTCACACTCGCTGCATCGTATATTCAGGCGAGTCCAGATTTTTTTTCCTTTTGCGCGTCGGTGCCGACACTGCTTGATTGTACATTTATTCCCAAGGCCCATGATGAGACATCATGATGGCTTTGATATTGCGCTTTCCTTGAAATATTTTTTTCTCATTTTCCCCGGATCGGACGGCTCAGCATCGCATGTGAATCCAGGCGTCCCTTCCCTTTGCACGTGCATCTCGCACGCATATAGCACTAGACTGAAGCCTGCAAGTTTTGGCGGTCATATAACCAAGATTGATACGGTTTTTTTTCTTGTTGCTGATATTCTTGGCAAAAATTACGCATGATGATGTAAGATTTCTCTGAAACAACCATGGAGAAACAATTAAGACGACCAGTTTTTGTCACGACCGTCAAAACATTCCCATGTGTAAAACATTGTTTGAACTTTCAGTGAAGACACTTTACACACAAAGAAAACCGCAAACACGGCGGCGTTAGCAGAACTTCAAAGGCCTTTGTGGTATTGCAGCTGCCGAAGTATCAGATTTTCTAGTAGAGCTTGACAATTGTGTTCAATCTGTCAACGGTAATTGACAATGCAGACATGAAACTGGATGCCTGAAACCACAAAGAATGGAATCAAACATGTCAAAGAGGTTGCTTGTCTTTCTGTTTGAAAGGCTTTTGCGAAGATTCTGAACACTAAGGAAGAATACCGCGGTATTGAAATTCCATACCGAGTTCACCGGTGTTTCGGTATTCATGAATCATTAGTCGGTGTTAGTCGGTTATTAAAAAAAACCTTGACTATCCGGTTATACCGAAATACCGTCCAAGCCTAATACGAAGTGCATTATTCCAGCTAATATCTTTGTGGGTGTGTCTTATTTATGTGTTCAGTTTGTATATCCTGGGATGACGTCTTTTAGTTTGGCCCCTGGGCCTACCCGTTTCCATCATCGGAACTGATCATTGATGCAAATTCCAACAATGGTTTCCATTATAATGTACATATTAAACGGAGCGCAGTATACCAGCCAAGATCCTTGTGGGTGTATCTTATTATATCCTGGGATTTTAAAGATGAGTTCAAAAAATGTACTTTTTATAACATGGAAGATTTTGTTTTGCAAATATCCTTTTGTCAGAACTACTATGGAGCATCTAAGGCAATCTTCTCAGACAATCCCCTGGGTCTGACATGTGGTATGGTATGCCCTACCAGTGACCTCTGCGTTGGAGGATGTAACCTCCATGCGTCAGAGGAGGGCGCCATCAACATCGGCGGACTACAGCAGTTTGCCACCGAGGTAAGATACTTTGAATAATCCTGGAAAGAAGAGGTTGTAAGATATCGCTTTTTCGCAAACCAACGTGTACCACAGTTCTGATGTCACAATATTCAATTGCTGCCTGTAGTGATGGGGTCCATGGTGAGGCAAAGCCGAGGGTGCCATTTGCCCCCGAGGGTTTTCAAAACCCATGGACCCCAATCGCAGCAGGCAACAATTGTTTTGTTATACCATGGTAATAGATTCCAAGCGTCTGAAATTGTGGATTTCCTCCAGTTGTCGTGCAGTAATAGCGGAAGTATTATTTTGAAGAGATCCGCGATTACTGCACCGTGAATATTCGCACAATCTATTTTTTTCACTGCACGGGAACACAAATCAATTTACCTTTTCACTGAATAGACCAATGCATTTATCCCTGCCCGTTAGGAGCCAATCACAGCTGTGACCATGTTCTATGAGAGCGCGTTATCCGACATGCGTACACGCGTGTGCGCGCTGTCTGCATGCTGTCTGAAGCCTCTTACCCGGGCTATTTCTATTACACAAGGCGATAGAAACAACACGTTCAGCAGTGGGGACGATCAAGGTAATGTACCCCGTGGGGTACATCACTCATGTACCACGGGGTGTACCCTGACACTATACATGCGTGTTTGTAGCACATCACATGCTTGGTTCTCACCCAATATAACATCACAATCTATTGCCGAGGCTCAACAATATGATTTGTTATTCCATCGTCGATCAAACGTGTCATGCCACAAAACACACATGTACAGCGATGAAGGCCACCATACCTGGTACATGTTCTTCAGTTTTTCCACTTTTGTGGGTATATTTTCTCAACAAAAATGCATATTATGAATCTTCGATACCTTGGCTACTCAAAAATTCAAAACAATCAATATTGATTTTTACATGATTTTTCTAGCATATACGATTTTAGACGTCGATTACGTAAAACAAGGTTTTGGGGGAAATTCTTCATTTTGCCTCAATAGGTCACGATTATATTTGTGTGATGTCGTGTATGAGGTTGTAGCTATGCTGTTACTATGTACATGTTTTTACTAGATGTGCCACGGGGGACAGTGAAGCAATATTTCTGCTATGACCGCCATTGTTGTTTACATCATTCGTCACTGTTCGTCTGCTTTTTTTAACTGTGCAAATTTTGCCATAATTACACTGTAATAATGTCAGCAGATGACAACAGGTCGCCTCCAAAGAAGAGGTTTCTCTCTTGTTCCAAAGACGAGATCAGAAATTTGAACAGGACAGCATCAGCAGGAAGACCAATACGGAAAATTCCGTGCGAAAAGTTTGTCAAAAGCAGCAGATTCTGTACCGCAACAGTAAAAAGACCCCTAGTTTCAGACGTTAGTAATCTATTACCGTGGTATAACAAAGCAATTGTTGCCTGCTGTGACGAGTCCATGGTGTTTTGTACACCGTCGGGGGCAAATAGCAACCTCAGCTTTGCTTCGGGTAACATTTGCCCCATTGGGTGTAAAAACACCATGGACCCTGTCACAACAGGCAACAGTGGTATAATGAATCACGACATGCATCATTAACTTAAAGCTGATGCCTACAATAGGTTGACTTCTGTCAAAATAAGCATGTTGTGCCCAGCATTCCTACATGTATGTCACGTTTATCTATACATCAATAACAGAGCTTTACTTGAGGGTGACAATGCTGACGCAGTTGTGTAAATGCAGAGTTATTAAAAAGCCACATGGTTCGTACTGCATGGTATCACATGCAGGGTCTTCCACTACACGCATGAATTGGCAGCAGTCATGCAGAAACCATTTTTTTGTCTGTAAAGTGCCAAATTTGCAGTTGTAATGATGTACACATGGATATCAATGGGAATACAGGGTGAGTAAAAAAAAAAAAATAAAAAATGTCGGGCCCATTGTTTTAGTGAAGTTCTGCATGTAGCATTTTCAAAATCTAGGATATGAAAGCCCAATTCATAAGCTTTCTTTTAGTACAAGAATCATTCAAATCACTTACGTAGTTTTCAAGTTACAGAGTTTTAAACACAACCACCGTTTTAAGGTTCTGTCCACGGATCACAAAAAGTTCAGTGTTCTTTCAGCAAAACGAAAACAAATCACATAAGGATGTGTGTGAATTGTTTTCGTTTTGCTGAAAGAACGCACACCTTTTTTGTGATCTGTGGACAGAACTTTAAAACGGGGGTTGTGTTTAAAACTCTGTAACTTGAAAAGTACATGAGTGATTTGAATGATTGTTGAACTAAAAAAAAGCTTATGAATTGGGCTTTCATATACTAGATTTTGAAAGTGCTACATGCAGAACTTCACTAAAACAATGGTCCCGACATTTGGGTTTCGTTTTTTTTTACTCACCCTGTATATGAATGTTGGGGAACTTTTGATTTTATTCAAACATCACACTGTGCTGTGACCTGAGTTTCAGCCAAAATTTTTAAAAACTGGCCAAACTTGCTTCATTAGAAAGAAACAATATTTCTTTCATATGTATTTTGTTTTCTTAAAATCGCCAATGAAAATGGTGTCCCAAGCTGTCAAAATCAGAAACAGTGTCCGAAAGGATAATACAGGCCCCCAAAATTATATTTCACATTGTACAAAATACGTAGCACTAAAAGTGATAATGACTGGAAAGCCAATTTCATAAGCTACTGAACAACAAAGAAAATGACACAGATTACTTGTTTCAACAACTGTCAATGACTGTAGTAAGCATATCTTTATTAACAACCATGGTTAGGCAAACAGTATGATTTATAAAATCCCTTTTTTTTTTTAAAGACGGGCCTTCAAAAGGACTTTGTTGAATATTTGTAACTTTTATGAGGTTTTATCGCTGGTGATGTTTGATGACAAGAGTGACGACAATTCTTGAAATCACATTTTTGGTCGAAAGAGGTTTTGGGGTCATTGTGTTTTTAAATGAAGATATTCTTTGAACGCATTGATCAATTTCAGTATTTTTTTTTCAACTAAAAGTAGTTTTCCAGTCATTATTATTTTTGGTGCTACATATTTTTTTAAAATATGAAAAATAGTTTTTGGGGTTTGGGTTCCGCTTTTTTGACTCACCCTGTATCTTTGAAAGTTGCCCTCTGTAGAAAACTATGCCTACGAGACCATGAACATGTAGTTTTTCTGAACTGACACCCAGGATTCTCTCCACAGGTCTTCAAGTTCATGAAAATCCCCCAAATTCGGAACCCAAGCCTGCCCCCTCCCGACCAGCTACCTGAGAGCTACCACTCCAAGGTAGCCCTGATTGGCTGCGGACCGGCCAGCATCAGCTGTGCTACCTTCCTGGCCCGGCTGGGCTACACGGACCTGACCATCTACGAGAAGGAGGACTACATCGGTGGGCTGAGCTCTTCTGAGATCCCCCAGTTCCGACTGGCGTACGACGTGGTCTCGTTTGAGGTGGACATGATGAAAGACCTTGGTGTGAAGGTGGGCTATCGAAATCGAGACGGTCTTTGAATCAGTCCCATTCCTGTTGTATGGAGTAGATCGTCGTCATTCGTTTGAACCCTCCATGTTGATCACACAGGAACATCTGTTGAAGTTAACCACTGCTAAGTCTGTTCGGCCAGCTCAACTAGTCTGTCTCGATTTGTAGTTTCAAAATATTGACTGCTTTGAATGGTGTGGTAAACCTGGCCAAACCAATGGTACAGGTCAGACCAATTGAAAAATTCAAAACTTTGAAACTTAATTTTGAATAGCCTCCAAGATGAAAATTTATTTGCACTTTTCCAAACAGCCCCTTCATGAAATAACAGCAGTGCAAAAAAAAATCATATCCAAGGCACAGTGGTAAAACAGGGTCAGTTAGTTCCTAGGAAAGAACACAACACTAACTACTTATAATCCATAGTTGCTTTGCTAGTACTCATGTCTGTGATCGTACAAATCCTATCCTCATTTTACTGACAGATTGAGCTTGGCAAAGGCCTAGGAGACAATGGATTGACGCTCCAGTCACTGAAAGATTCTGGGTACGAGGGCGTCTTCCTAGGAATCGGACTCCCTCAGGCCAAGCGCATTCCCATCTTTGAGCGGTTGACCAAGGAGCAGGGCTTCTATACATCCAAAGATTACTTACCGGTAGTTGCCAAAGCTAGCAAAGCAGGTAAACTCAACCCATCAGACAGGCTGTTGCATTTTCGTGCGTTCTGCATCATTTCTGGCCAAAATAAAAAAGTGCAAAACTTCTGGTCCCTAGATGTTGGCTGGTTTTGACTACCGGTACCTCCCTCCGTTTTGTTTGGAGGAAGTCAAATCAGCCAACACTTCAGGACGTCAAATCAGCCAACACTTCAGGACCAAGAATTTTGCACTCAAACCATGTTGTATTTTTCCTTTTGTTATTTAGGTATGTGCAGCTGTAAATCTCAGCTTCCCCAGCTTCACGGTAACGTCATCGTCCTAGGCGCTGGTGACACGGCCTTTGACTGCGCCACCTCGGCGCTCCGCTGTGGTGCTAAGAGGGTGTATATCGTCTTCCGTAAAGGCTTCACCACCATCAGAGCTGTGCCTGAAGAGGTCAGTAATACGTACCCTCTCCACCGCCCCAATCCCCCCACCACCCCCAGCTACAAAAATATAGCCTAATGACCAGCCTGTTGACTAGCCTTTTGAGTTGTAACATGCGAAGTGTCAAATTCCTTCACTCTCTGAGAACGCATGAACAATAAAAGTTTAACTGAGCCCATCCGTTTTAGTTGGGAAAATATAGCCAATGGTCAGAAAATGCTTCATGGCCGACTGTGATTTTGCACTCTTTTGAATGAAAGTTCCAAGAATTTTTTAAATGTCTGTTTGTCACATATTGACAAATTGTTCGGTCACTAGTGCATGTCTGTGCATCTTTCAGGGTCTATAGGAAATAGGAATGGTTTATGGTAACTCGCAGTCCCTCTGGTAACTCGCAGTCCCTCTGGTAACTCGCAGTCCCTCTTGGTCCATAGGCTGCATTAGTGACCACATAGCTGGTCAATATGTATAGAATCTTTTATAACACTTCACCCACAGATTCAGTGTCTTGATTGCCCGAGAGCGAGTCACATGACACTTTTTTTTGCTATCTTTCTGTGCTCGGCCAAAAGTACTATACCCGTAGCAACCAAAGTGCTATACCATTAGCGACCAAAGTACTATACCCATGGCGCGGTATTTGTGTGCACATGTATGCTGGTGTGCGCGTTGAGCATTGTGCATAGCGCGTATGGTTCCCAAGAGAGCGCGCCACAGAGTTGGGTTCGAATATTTCGTGAAGGGGTGGTTTGGAAGCGAGAAATACATTTCTACCAATTTTGTACTGAAATTGCAGTATATTTTCACTGTGTTCAGATTTAAATAACTTAAAATATTAAAACAAGTAGAATCTGTGGGTGAAGTGTTATAAAACAAATAGTGAATGCTTTATCTCGTGGTGAAGTCAAACTAGCCTCCCTCAGTGATCCATGGAGCATTCTATTTTCCCTCGGCTTCGCCTCGGGAAAATAGAAAGCTTCATGGATCAACTCGGGAGGCTAGTTTTACTACACCACTTGAAGCATTCAATATTTGTATACTGAGTTTCAAGGACAAACCCTTCATCTTTATTAAAGTTTTAAATGGAAGTTGGGAATTTTCTACCATTTCATATATTCTTATACATGTAGATGGAGCTAGCCAGAGAGGAGCGATGTGAGTTCATGCCGTTCCTGTCTCCACGGAAGGTCATCATGAAGGCTGATCGCATCACTGGCCTGGAGCTATGCCGCACTGAGCAGGACGAGAACGGCAAGTGGGTAGAGGACGAGGAGCAGACAGTCCGTCTCAAGGCAGATTACATTATCTCGGCATTCGGCTCAACGCTCCATGATCAGCAAGGTAGGCTACTGTAGGCAAATTTATAGACGCACTTGTTATCACTTCTGCTGGTCCCAGCTTCTCCTACAAACTTTTTAGCCATTCTGAAATTCTGGAATTTTGTGGTCTCTGGGACTAGCTTTACTAGGGCTCGTTAAGGAGTGATTACTTACATGTAAGGTACCGGCATGATAATAATAATATTGGCTTCTTGAATAGCGCTCATGTCCGTCACGAAGTGACACTCCTGGCACTCTTATTATTACCCTGGCTTTAGCATGGCTGTCATTACGGCGCTCAAGCACTGAAGGCATTTCTTCCTACCAGGTACCCATTTACTACACCTGGGTGGAGAGAGGCAATCGTAGTAAAGTGCCTTGCCCAAGCGCACAAGCACCATGTTCCCCGTCAGGATTCAAACCAAATAAAGTACAGTATTCAAATAAAGTACAGTAACCAAATAAAGTACAGTTTTCTTTGATGTCTTCCATTTATCTTGGAAGTTAATGTTTGTTTGTCATCTCTCCCCCCCCCCCCCCTCCCCCCAGTCAAAGCGGCCATGTCCCCCATCCAGTTCAATTCCTGGGGTTTACCGGAGGTCAGCCCTGACACCATGCAGTCCAGCGAGCCGTGGATCTTCTGTGGCGGTGACCTGGCTGGTCAGGCCAACACCACCGTGGAGTCGGTCAACGACGGGAAAACGGCCGCCTGGTATCTGCATAAATACCTGCAGGTACAGACATTAAAAGACATTCACTCCCTTGTAGATAGGGCAGGCTTCAATATTGACTGGCAAAACACTTATTAGATGTCACTGGGCCTGTTAGCTTGGTGTGCTAATTCATATGGGTCATTTTATCAATTTGAGTTTTCCTGTCCCTGTTAACGTCTGACATCTGACGTCTACGATTTTATAATTCTGATGCACTCCTAAATGCAGTCGCCTTCCAAGAGTGATCATGAATAGCGAACTACCTACCCAACAAATACAAACAATAATTTGAAGTCATTTTTAATGATACTTGAAATGGCATATTACAAAGTACCACGGTAAAAGGGACAGGAAAAATGTCACACTTTGGACCCAATAATTTATGGAATTCCTCGCATACAAATGCAACACAATTTGAGGGGAAGTAGTGCAAAATTACTGGGCCGAAGCTTTCGCTGGTTTGTCTACCTCCCTCTGCCAACACCGAGAAACCAGGTTTTTTTTGGCACTTCTCCCCCCCCCCCCCCCCCCCCGAAAAAAAAACAAAAACAGTTTTATTACACATTACACATATAATAGTTTCATTCTCAAATGTTAAAGAAGTTCCTTGGGAAAGCCTTATAATTGTAAATCTTTCACAGTAACCATCTGTGCCATCACAGTAACCATTTTATTCCTGGATTGGGAGTAGCAATACACGAAAAGTGTCCTGCCCAAGGACACATACACCACAATCCCACAGACTGGATCCAAAACTATAATCTGCAGAATAACCCATAAGATCTTGGGTTCTAGGAACCAGACCACAAGGCCACTACATCCCTAAGATCAGCGAGAATTTGAAGATTAAGAAAGTCATTAACCCTAACCCCTTGAGTACTTTTACTAGAAAGTATCCTGAATCCGCCCAAATCCACCAATTTTGTCATGCAAAAAAATGTTGGTGTCCTCAGTCCATCAAAATCCACCAGTGAGTCCATCATAATCCACAGGTGTAGTACATATACCTCGTACACTCCAAACATGTAGCCAAGGAGTTAAACTGTTGAGATCCTGAATCCATCAAAGTCCCCCAACTGCTCAACATGGAGGTATCCTGAAACTGCCAAAATCCTCAAAATCAGGGGTGAAGATTTTGATGGATGCAGGTACGTTAGGGTTAATTACATGCAATTGACTGTTTCTTTCAGTCCCTCCACGGTCTACCAGTGTCGGCCACCCCCACCTTACCAAAGTTCTACAGTCCCATTGACCTGGTTGACCTGAGTACGGTGATCTGCGGCCTCAAGTTTGAGAACCCCTTTGGCTTGGCCAGCGCCCCGCCCACCACCTCAGCGGCGATGATCCGACGGGCCTTCCAAGCTGGCTGGGGGTTTGTGGTCACCAAGACCTTCACGCTGGACAAGGTAAGAATGCTACAGGATGAGTCAAAAATACTGCAGTAATGCAAAGGATCCATCTTTTTTTCCAAAACCAAGTTGAAGTTTTGAACTTTTTAAGTTTTGTAAGAACGACAGATTCGTTAGTTACCTTGTATGAAAAAAATGAAGTTAATTGCATTCACTGTTTGTCTCTTGTGAACCTTTTATCGACATCGTGCATGAGCTGCCAGGCTGGTCATTAGTCTGCTCCCTGCTCCCTTACATATTGTGCTGATTATAAAGCCAAGGAGTAAAACTGTTGAGATCCTGAATCCATTAAAGTCCCCCAACTGCTCAATATGGAGATATCCTGAATCCGCCGAAATCCTCCAACACAGGGGTCAGGATTTTGATGGATTCAGGTTCGTTAGGGTTAATGACTTGACTGTTTCTTTCAGTCCCTCCACGGTCTACCAGTGTCTACCAGTGTCGGCCACCCAAACATTTTCTGTTTTAGCCTCTGAAGAAGAACTTGCTAAGTTCGCAACGTCAGGCCACATTAATTTTTAGATTATAAAGCGTCTACAGGTTCCAGATAAACAACCATCGCTCCCTCAGTCTGGCTTCCAGACGCACAATTATAAAATTACAACACCGTCTGCAAATGGTGCCCGACTAAATTTAGTGCAAAATATATGGGAGCCAAGAGAGGCCACATAAAGCTTATACTTGATCGTAACCCCATCTAAAAACACATTAAAATTGTGCTGCAGCAGGATTTCAATCAAACCAGTGAGTTTGGCAGTTTTTAGACATCATCTACATTGAAAAAGAAACTTTTTAATTTTGCCGACACGCATGGCTACGGCGACGCGCACGCAGACCAGAAACTGGAGACTATTTTTTAAGCCTAACAGAGTGTCCATTCTTTGGCAGGACATAGTGACCAATGTCTCCCCCCGCATTGTCCGAGGCACCACCTCGGGCCACACCTTCGGCCCCGGTCAAGGCTCCTTCCTCAACATCGAGTTGGTCAGCGAGAAGACCGCCGCCTACTGGTGCCGCAGCGTGAGGGAACTCAAGGACGACTTCCCCGAGAAGATCATCATCGCTAGTATCATGTGCAGCTACAACAAAGAGGACTGGGTCAAACTGGGCAAGATGGCAGAGGTATGCATGCATCATTTCGTCGCTTTGCTCACGAAGTTACAAAAACCTTGAAAATCGATAATTGTTGGATTTTGAGTTTTACTAGCCTTTTTACCCCTCAGTCGAGAGGCTCGAGGGGTATTGTCATCGCCTAGGGCGTCCGTCCGTTCTGACCATACCACCCTTGTGGGGTGATGTTCCTTTCAGGACACATCACCCCACTATTTTCACAATAGAAAAACATCACCCCAGAAGAGAATTTTTAGAAAAGGGATAATGGGAACACAATGCTATCACCCCACAATTCCGTCTGGCTAGACCATCCGGGCAGCTCAGTTTCCGGATGATAACTTGAGTTAGAAATGTTGTTTGGGGTTGAAACTTCGGTAGAGGGTTGCCCTTGGGAGAAGGCAAGTTGGGATTGGTTTTGGGGTCAAAAGGTCAAAGGTCAAGGTCAGCATGGTGAGTTAAAGGTAAATGGTTTCCGGATGATAACTTGAGTTAGAAATGAGATTTTGATGTCTAACTTTGGTAGAGGGTTGCCCTTGGGAGTAGGCAAGTTGGGATTGGTTTTGAGGTCAAAAGGTCAAAGGTCAAGGTCACTGTGGTGAGTTAAATGTAAATGGTTTCCGGATGATAACTTGAGTTAGAAATGAAATTTTGGTGTCTGACTTGGGTAGGGGGTTGCCCTTGGGTACAGGCCAGGTGGGATTGGTTTTGGGGTTCAAAGGTCAAGGTAACCGTGGTGAGTTAAATGTCAATGGTTCCGAATGATAACTTGAGTTTGAAATGAAATTTTGGTGTCTAACTTTGGTAGGGGGTTTCCCATTGGTACAGGCATGTTGGGACTGGTTCTGGGGTCAAAGGGCAAAGGTCAAGGTCACCATGTTGAGTTAAAGGTTCATGGTTTCCGGATGATAACTTGACTCTGGCTGAGGGGTTTCAACAGCAACGCTGTTATTTTTATTATCAAGGAACAATTTGACAAAGTTTCAAAACAAAATATTGTTTACTTTCTTAATTATTGTAAACAAACATTTGACAAAAAGCCTGAAATCCGTGTTTTTCATTTTTACGAAGTGTAAAAAAATGTAAATTGTTCTCACGAAGTGACAAAAAGTCACCTCGTGAGCAGGGCCGGAGGAATTATAAGTTGGTCTACACGCGTCAGGATGGGAGCATACACGCGCGTGCGAACGATGTTGAATAAGAATAGACGCGCGCTCGTTCAACTGTCGTATGATGTAGTAGTCGAAAATGTCTTTTGAAAATATGAATAACTTCAAACTTTTGTCAAATTTGGGATGAAATTTAGTCAAATTTGAGGTTTTTGTCACTTCATGAGCAAAGCGAGATCTGATTGAACTTTTTCATGATATTTAAACCCTGCATTTTAAATTTATAGACAGTTGAAATAATAACGTAAAAGACCGTATTGATGAGGGCACCATAATGCAATATGTAAGCTCTGGAAGGAGGTTCTACATGTCACTTGGTGGTCGGTCGGTCTGTCCCCGAAAAATGACCAAAACTGTTTGACCAAATGCCATGCTGAGGTCATATAAATGCACTCTTGCCGAAAGTTTTTGGCTTTCATTCGATGGATGTGCATGCGCTTCTATTTTGCATATGTTTGTCCCCGGAAAATTGACCAAAAATGAGCCCCCTAAGTTTCCCATTAAATGTAACCAAATTTAAATTTTCAGAAAAAACAAACAGAATAGATTAAATACTTAACAAAATTTGTTTCTAACAATTTGTAAAGTTTTTTATGAAAATTTGTAAATGGTGGCAAAGTAATGTGCAGTAATGTTATGGTCACGTGGCATATAGCGCGCTATATAGCACGCTATATTTTATGGGAAACTTAGAGACTTATTTTGGTAACTTTTCGGGGACAGATTAGCACAATAGCGCAGCATGATTTTTGCGTGGGATTGCGGCCCAGGTTTGTACGCACAATCATTTCATGCAAGACTTTCATGCAAAGCAGCCAGAGCTTATTGTGCACTCACTCTTGTTGAGGTGCAAGTGTAAGTTTATATCTTGCAAAAATAAAAAATTTGAAAATTTTACAATCTCCAATTTGAATTTTTTTATTAAATTGGTGGGGGGGGGGGGGCCTGGTACCCATTTTCCAAATGAGTGCGCTCTTCAAAACTGACCATTATTGTGCATACTTGAAAATATATGCTGATTGTCACGGAACATTGTAATGGATTTGGAGCTTGTATTTCTTCTGTTTTTCATGTCAGAACTTAATTACCATTTATGGAGATAGTTACGGCAAAAATTTCTTTCAAAAAAATCTGCCAGGAGGGGCAAGGTCCCCCCACCCCACCGAGACGGACACTTTTTTGGTGACAGACTGTAGAGCATTCCAAGCACACTATCACTTACGACTCATGGAGGCCCTCCTCAATGGCGGACGCATTGTCACAGCTACAGTACAAAGCAACTGCCCCAGGACAGATTGTCTGAACATTGAAGGGAGTGTATTGCGATAGTGCTTGGAATGATCTACAAGGGCTTATTAGTGAACACAAGAATTGGCATTGTGTGATTGATTTTGCTTCCCTTTCTATAGGACCATGGTGCAGATGCCCTGGAGTTGAATCTCTCCTGCCCTCATGGCATGGGAGAGCGAGGCATGGGCCTGGCCTGTGGCCAGAACCCTGAGCTAGTCCTGAACATCTGTCGATGGGTCCGGGAAAATGTCAAGATTCCCTTCTTTGCCAAGCTGACTCCCAACGTCACGTCTATCGTCGAGATTGCCCGGGCTGCTAAAAACGGTACGTTGTGCTGGGGGTTTTTGCTCCTCTTCTTCACTTGTCTGTTTGTGTCAGTGTAGGGGGATGTATCTGGGGTGCGTTCCACTTTAGCGAACAACGCCAATGTTAGCAATGATTTCCCATTGACTATGCACAAAATTATCGCAAAAGTCAGCAATGTTTGCGTGAGTGGAAACGCACCCTGAAGTAGTGATATCAGTGCTGTCCCTAAGTTTCATTTACAACTGGAAACGACCGATATGTTTATAATCTGAATTCTTCCTCTGGGTATGGATAGGTGGAGCGGATGGCGTAACGGCCACCAACACAGTCTCAGGCCTGATGGGCATCAAAGGCTCCTCCAGCGCATGGCCTGCCGTCGGCAAGGAACAGCGGACGACCTACGGTGGTGTGTCCGGTAACGCCATCCGGCCCATCGCGCTACGCGCCGTGTCGGCCATCGCCAACGCCCTCCCGGGATTCCCCATTCTCGCTACCGGTGGGATTGATTCGGCGGACGTCGGCCTGCAGTACTTGCATGGCGGGGCAGCCGCACTTCAGGTCGGTACAAAATATGTATCTAAAAACCCCAAAGCATTAGGATATGGACAACTGTACTGGGCTCTGTACGTCAACAAGAGAGGGCGCCATTTTAACATGTTTGAAAGCCCAGTGGACGGGACACACTGCGTACACGTACTGGTTCACGCGCGTATAGCGCGAAGTACGCCCCACTTAGTTTATTCTGAATGTGTATAAAGGCATAGCGTTCTCCACATGTGCATCAAGTGTCATTGGTAATGTGTTTGAATGTCGGTCCAAGTGGTCTCCCCCAACTCTCCCTTTCTTACCGTTGAGGGGGTACTTGTGCACGGAACCCACAGTAACCAACAATGCAACCGACTTTAATTGAAGGCTGGTTCCAGATACAGTCAACTTTCCTTAATATGAACCCAGTTATGATGACATTCTGGTTACAACAAAAATTAATTGTATTGTCAAATACAAATTGTGCACATTCTGATGGGGATGAACTTCTTTAAAATTTTCAAAGAAAAGACATGCTCGTGTTGTTATAAAATCTGTGTGTGTTCAATGAGTGTGTATTGAAAGCACAATGCCAGTGGCACAATGAATGAAAAACCGCCTCTCTAGCATACAGTTTTGGGCAGCCCGTCAGATTTCATACTGTAGTCAACAGAACTAGTCAACATTGACTCGGTGGCTTTAGGCAAAGAAAGTCGAATTATGGAACCAGTTAATGCCGGAGGACGTATAAACACAGTCTGACAATGTACATTCGCAGGGGCGGGTGACGGGTTAAATCGTCAAGCTTTTCCCTGAGTCTCCGGTGGTGGACGTGTATACATGTCAGCGGTTGCCATTGTTTTTGCGTACACCGTGTGTTGTACTTGAACTTTGCCGCTGTACACGGCCTGACGTGATAGCACATATCGCTCCATGGCGGGCCTGGGAGTGTTGCAAAATATAAAGTTGCGGTGAAAAGTTTGGTACAAATATTGTACAAATGACTCTCAAGAGTCAGTGTTTGTGGTGTTTGACTACATTTTAGAATTTGGCTGATATGTTTTGTCTTTTTCAAAAATGGTGGTTTTGGGTCCAAAAATAATCCCGGCGTCAAGTGGTTAACCATAGTACTTGCGCGAATTTACTAAACCCTCCTAGTGAGAAGTCAATATTCAGAGCAATGTGTAAAAGCCTTTAAAACCTTGCAAGTTAATTTCAGGTGAAGGGCTATGATATGTCAAAGTAACTTCATCACACAGAGAGTCACTGCAAAAAAAAACACAGTACTGTGGAGAGCAGTGAAGCGTGACCAAATCTGCCTGCTTGCCCTGGGCTTAATCACACACAAGAAAATGGTGCAGGGATTTGAAGTGCTGACTCTATGGATACAACTGGTTTTGCAAAACTTGAAAGGCTGTGAATTGCAGAAGACTAGGAGGGTTAAAAGTGTCTTTAGAGAGGTTCCTCTGCTTCCCTTACACTGTTTTGTATTGTCTTTCTTGCAGGTTTGTAGTGCCGTCCAGAACCAGGATTTCACCCTGATTGAGGACTACTTGACAGGGCTGAAGACGTTGCTGTACCTAGAGAGCATGGATGCCTTTGAGCACTGGGATGGTCAGAGCCCTCCAACAGCCAGGCACCAGAAAGGCAAGATGGTGCCCAAGGTTGCTGACATAGTAGGCAAGGTACCAGACTCCTTTGATTTAAGTGAGAGGTCATGCCCTATTCTCTAGTCTGGAGCTATTGGCTAAAATCAAAGTGTTATTTAAATTTAAAAAAATTTAATCAACTCCAAAACTTAGGAATAATGTAAATTGATAACTGCACAAAAGTAACATTAGACTAAAGATGTTATTAAAAAAAATTAATTGTGACAAATTCTCCTTAACCAGTTCGCGTTGAAGGACGTGATAAAACACACTGGCTGTTTTTGTACCCAGGCACAGCTGACGGGTTAAGACATCAAGATTGCCTCGACTCGCCTCCTGGTGACGTCTAAACATGCTATTACCTCGTGCTTTTTATACACACACAAAGTCCATGTTGTCTGTGGAGGCGGACCGTGTGCTGACCCTTGTGTGGGCCGTTGTGCACAGCCTATTGTTGTACAATTGACGCTCCAGTGCACACCCCGGAGTATAGAAACATATGAGGTTTCAGCAAGAGATATCGTACAAATACTGTTGAAATTACTCTTGCGTATCAGCATTTGTGGCGTTTGGCTGTATATTAGAAATTGGCTAGGAAATTTTGCCTTTTGAAAATTTCGAAATTTTCGGCAAAAGTATACCCGGTACAAAGTGGTTAAACATAAAAGTATACTTAAATATAAATAAAATAAAACTAATCCATGAAGTTCATTGACTACTATGGCCAAATCCAAATGGAAAACCCTGCATAACTGTATGACTGATAAAAAGTAAACCAAAAAAGCACGCCAAGCTTTGTTTACATACGTAATTGCATTTGTTTCCCCAGCATCTACCATCATTTGGACCCTACCAGCAAGAGCGTATCCGTCGTCTGGCCGACTATAAGAGGAAAGTGGCTCCACTGGATGCCACCCCGGACCAATCGGAGGAGGAACGCTCCCTCAACCAACCCAAGAAAACCATCCCAACCATCAGGGTAAAATGAAACTCACGGAACTTCTTAAAAACTCTGGAATAGCCCTGTTCCTTTGCTGAATATTCTATTTGAAGCAAGTTGCCTTCCTGGGCCCACGGGCATCGCCTGGCCATTTTGTACTGCTGGTTTGACCAGAAATCACAAATACACAACAGGTCATAAAGTAATGAGAGATGTATTTGAAAAGTTGTTGGGGAAATTTAAAAGGTTCATAACATGAATTTTTTCTCAGTAACACATTTTGTGCAACTTTCTACTCCTCTTAAATGTATGAAAACTAGTTGACATCCCTTTTGGGTTAAAGGTATTGAAAAGTGCACTTCTTTAAACATGAATATTGTCCATGCATTAATGAATGGTAGGTTTGCGGTAACACCATGTGTTACCTCAAAGTTTGATCTTTCATTCACATGGTGTTACCGCAAACCTCCCATTCATTGATCATGCCCACCATGCAAATCCTTAAGTCTTATTTGTCCATGATTTTCCGGACGACTGTAACTGATATCTCATACATTAAGATTAAGTTTGCAATTTCAGCGTGTTACAAGAAGTCTCTTTTATGAGTTTGTGAGGTTCTGAAATGGACGACGGGCAGAGCATACTGTCCAAAATGTTAAGTTTCCCCAGTTCTTTTCAGATTCTCACAACTCACAGCTGTGATTTTTAGGGTATTTTAATTTATATTTTTGATTTCATATATACAGGAAGTCATTGGCCGCGCCCTGGATCGCATCGGCACCTACGGCGACCTGGACAACACCCAACAAGTGGTGGCGCTCATCGACGAGGAGATGTGCATCAACTGCGGCAAGTGCTACATGACCTGCAACGACAACGGCTACCAGGCCATCACCTTTGACCCCCTGACCCATCTACCGCACGTGACCAAGGACTGCACAGGGTGCACGCTGTGCGTCAGTGTCTGTCCGATCATCGACTGTATCAAGATGGTCGACAGGAAAACGTCTTATGTACCTAACCGTGGGGTACCGCTCATTGCTTCCTCTTAAAAAAAAAATCGATCTCGAGAAATTATTTTTATCATTGCAAATTATATCAGTATTTCCTGGAATTGTTGCTTGATTAAATTCAATGTTGCAAGATCAGGGGACGAATTCATAAATCGCTAAGATGCGTCTTAGGAAGGGTAACTCGTCTTCCCTCGCGACTCGTGCTAGGATCGATTACACCAAACTTAAGACGCGTTCAACACGTCTTAACTTCCTTAGCAATGTGGTTGAACTCATCTTAACATGAGATCGGTCTGAGGGTCGTCTTATCTCATTAAAGCAAGCATTAATTTGTATATCGTCTGGAAATCATTGCCGTTAAAGACGAGTGTCGGCCTAGAGTTATAGTTTTGAGGAAGGAAACTGCTGTAGAAACAGATTTGAAAAGATTTCTGATACGTGGGTAGTTTTAACAAAAATAGCTTGTTTACAAAACTGAATTAGCCTATACGTCGACACCCATTTGACTTTTTAAAATAAAGTGATGAAACGGGGAGCAAGAACGACTTTATCGTATCTTGTGTAGAACTACCTTGCGTGTGAAATTTATTGAGTACAGTAATTTTTCTGGCGAAAAATTGTGTTCTATGCAGGCGCCGGGTTTTGCGCATTTCTTTTCAACAACTGTTTCTTCAAGCGGTAAAATCAAACATGAAACAGTCATCAAATTGGTAATTTTGATGCGTCTTGCTTAAGATAGGTTTTGTGAAATCGCTCTTAGGAGGCGTCTTAGCTAAGATCGATCTTAGAGCAGGGACTCATCTTAAAGTTCCATGATGAGTCGCAAGATTCGTGAAATCGGCCCCTTGTCAAGTACATGTAACCATTTTTTTTTCTTCCAAAACAACTTGTCATGGCATGTTGACAAGATAATCTTTCACAAATGTCCAAATTGCAAAAATCAAACTCCAAAAGTATAAAAATCCAGAAGTGTTTTTTTCATAATGATATACAATTATGTCATGAACTAATTACCGAACCAATTTTGAGTTTTGCCAAAAAAAAATTGTATTTACTGTGCCGTGAAAAAAAAACCAAGCTGCTGAAAATATAACAATGTGGGGCCAAATTATACGTGTTTGATTCTAACAAGCCTACCGTTTGAAAAATGAATTATGCCAGAAATTTTTCATAATTTTCAGATGAGGTGAAGTTAAAATAATGTAAAATAAACTTAAATATATAGAATAACATGTTTTAAAGTCACACATATTAATTTTTGCAGGAAAAAAAGTTACATTTTAGTTTCAGTATTAAGTCAGCTTTTGTTCACTTTATTATTTAGTACTTTAAACATATTACAATAAGACTTTGTAATGACTTTAAAGATGCCAAAATAAATGATAATAAATTACAAATTTTAATAGTGGGTACCGAATATCAGTATTTTTAGTTTTTCGGATGACAGGTATACTTACGCACAACTGAGGAAAAAGAAATTGTTTTGTTAACCGTATGTATATCCATGTAGCGTGTGCTTTATTTTATAGTTTTCGTTTTACTTCAGTTATAATCGCACTTTTATTCAGTTGATTGCAGTGAAAATGGTTCCTTGATTACTGTGGCGTATGTTTGTGTGTATGTAATCAGGGAACTAGACTACAGTGATTTTTTTCTTGCTACTGTAAAATGTGTGTTTTTTTAAGTGAAAGGATTGTGGGTTCTAATAAATTAACAAAGATGATGGAACAAATATGTAGTATTCAGCAGATAGATTTTCAAAAAAAATGATACAATCTGTTCAGATTTCCAAAGATTGGTTGAAAAATACACTTAATAATAATACATAAATATATAAAAGTGGATATTTATAAAGCGTACGTATCCACCAGGACTTGTGCTGAAGGCGCTACATCATTATTACCCCTGCTCATTGGGCACATGGAACATTCCAAAAACCATCTCAGCTCCCTGGGGAGTATACAGCTCGATGCAGCCTGTTAGGCGCAAGGAAGCTAATTCGATCACAATAACCATCTCTGCCCTCACAGGTACCCATTTACTCCTGGGTGGAGAGAAGCAATGAGTGACAAAGTGCCTTGCCCAAGGGCACACGCACCATGACCCCGCCAGGACTCGAACCCACAACCTGCAGCTTTACCCAGAGACCACGAATCAGTGCCCTTAACCACGAGGCCACAGCACTCCACTTATAACTATTCATAAATGCATTGTTTTTGAGAAAGTGGCTATTTTTGAGGAAAATTTTATTTAGAAAACATTGGTAGTTATTTTTTAGTGGTTACGCATTTTATACTTGCGTTCAAATTTGAAATAATCAGCCTGATTAATAGCTTAATGTAACGGCAAAGTTTTGTCTTATCATTCCGATTGCAAAATAATATATATATATTTTCAAATATACTTAAATATCAGGATAGTTTCAGCCAAAGGAATGCCAAATGTTTTTGTAATAAATGTAGTGCAGTGGATATAAAAATGAAACATGTCTGATTCCTTTTGTGGTGGCCTTTCATAGTAAGATTTATGTTTATAAATTCCCATGAAGTCTGAACAGTTTTATCATTACATGTACATGCAGTCGACTGGTATTATCTTGCTGTACCTTGTGCAATCTTAACCCCTGGTATTTTTTAATTAAGTACTGAAGTGGATGTGTTTAATTCTGAAATGTACCGTACAGGTTTTTTTCTTTGGACACAATTGGGAAGGGCCGATAAAATCGTACAATCAGGCATGTACACTACATGGACTAAAAGTGTAGAAATGCACCCTTCTCACTATTCATTCAGGGGGAGACAGTTCGCATGTACGTCACAAAAAAAGTGCAATTTTTTTTCATATGGATTTTTTGGGTGGGGGGGGGGGCGCTAGACAAAAGTGGCGGTTCTACGGGGGGGGGGGGGGCGCTAATGCTCTGAATAGTCAGTCACTGTTTTCATATCTACACGGCCAAGGGTTAGTGAAAGCACGCGCAAGCAGCCGACGGAGTTGAGGTTAATATGGTTATTCAATATTCGCAATAAAAACTCAAAGACACAGACGATGACATTTCATGGAATGGGAAGAATTTATTCACAAAATAGGTTGCAAAATTTAAATATCCATACAAAAAATGAATCCCTGGCACAGGTCAAACCCTTGGGACCTAGCAGAAAACGTAAAATGGAGGACCATTTTATTTTTAAAATGGTAGTAAAGTTAACACACTGTTGTTAATTCATGTCCCTGTTTCATCGCTTCTCAACCTTTTGACTGTGCAGGTCATGTGTAGTATATAACCTGGACAGTTACAGAGGTTGTGGAATGCTCGAAGACATTTCCGTCATTTTTCGGGTATATGTAGCCTAAGGTGTGATGAAATAAAAACGACTATTGTTTCTGTCTTAAAATGAGTACAAAAGGTACTTTTGAGAGCTGTTTTTCAAGTCCTGTCATGCCTGTTTCGACCCGAACGTGCAATTTGTGTAAAAGTCGTCGTTGCGGGCAGCAAACAAAACACAGTAAATCGTGACGTAATAAACAGGACTCCCGATGCAGGGTAGCATAAACGAGTCCTGTTTATTACGTCACGATTTACTGTGTTTTGTTTGCTGCCCGCAACGATGACTTTTACACAAATTGTACGTTCGGGTCGAAACAGGACCTGAAAAATAGCTCTCAAAAGTACCCTTTGTACTCATTTCATGACAGAAACAATAGTCGTTTTATTTCATCACACCTTAGGCTACATATACCAAAAAAATGACGGAAATGTCTTCGAGCATTCCACAACCTCTTTAATGACAATGTATAATAAGGACGTTTACTGGTTCTTTTTTTTCTTTTTGGAATTTGGGCATAACTGGGTGATTCAAACTTCAGGTTTTTACATCAAAGTAACCGACTTCTTTTTGACCCCTAAAATAGCTGTTAAAGATACCTTACTAAGTTTGGGAGGAACAAAAACAAACCACACGCCTATCCTGTCAACAAGTTAAGTTCTTTCATTAATTAACCTTCCAAGTTTCATTCAGGGGTTTTCATTGAACTGAATTTTATAACGCAAATGTTGACAAGGAAGTTGTACAAAGAAAAAGAAGACAACCTTTCAGTAAAAACAAACAAAAATGTCTTCTTGCATGATGTCTTGTGAAATACAGCTGAATACATACAGACCAGATTTGTAAGGTTTGCCATGGTTAAGGTAGTACATGTAGTAAGATAAAGATTTACGGTAGCACCATGTGACAAATCTCTTTTATGAGTTTGTGAGAATCTGAAAAGAACAGGGGGGGACTCAATGATTCGAACAGTATGCTTTTCCCGTCGTCGGTCTGCTGCTGACGGGCATACTGTCCAAAACCTTGCCCCCCCCCCCCCCCCAGTTCTTTTCAGAACCTCTCAAACTGATGAAAGAGATTTGTCACATGGTACTACCGTAAAGCTTTATCTTACTGATTTACATATGTAAAACAATGACTTTTTTTAAAGAAACATCCTTCAAAACATTCATGACTTGCTTTATACACTTACATCTGTTGAATTAAACCAAGTACATACCTTTGTGAACGTGAAACACTATACTTACATCACTCTTTCCAACCGTTTCTCTATAGAAACTACATATTTTCTTTTGTTATTTTCTTTAATAATCCGTAAAAACAAAATTTTCATAAAAGAAAAGAAACATGAACTTCTGAAAATGAGACCTTTTCTCTTGCAATGCCTTTTTTTAAGTACTGCAGTCATTATAAAACGGCCAAAAACATAGTAACTTGTCTCAGAATGTCCTTCTAGTAGCTTGGATCATGTTTTATATGAAATAAACTTATTTTCTTAATCACATTCCAGGTTATGTTCTTTCCAGCTTAGTATCTACTAATAACATGCAGCTTAAAATGCCGCTCTAAACTGTAAAATTTAATATATACAAACAGCATGGTCATGTCGTGCTCTTCACATTATATGTTGATATTTGACAATTCTCTCTGCATCAACACTCACTTTATAAAAAAACAAATGGTCAGGTTTTCAAAAAGCTCCAGTACTCATCATCCTGTTGTTAAAGGGGCACTAGGTCCTGAAATCCCCGAAAATGTTATGTTTTGGATTGCTTACTTAGCCTATTTCAAACATCTGGTTGAAAGGAAACCAACCTAATGTCTTACCGTTCCCGAGAAAAGACGAAAAAAAACCCGCTTGTTTACATCGGACATGACGGAGTACGAATACGTTTTTCGTGTCGTTCTCATGTACGCTATACACGTTGTGTGTCTCAGGAACAGCGCGCGGTGACCAATCACCAATGCAAAAAATTGTGGTTTCTTCAACGTCCGCAAAAGGCGAACAATTTACGCGTACGAATGAAATCACAACTAGCATCCAAACAGCTCGAATTTATGGGGTCGCAAAAGTGGACCCCGAAATTCGTTCTCGCACGCATAATACAGGAATAACACAAAAACGCCCAGTTTTGAAAGGATAGTTGTGTGGATGTTTATATCCTACTTTTACAAGTTATTTCCGATTATCATCATCTCGTTCAAAGCGCATTTTGTGGCCCAATTGGTCTGTTCCAGGACCCAGTGTCCCTTTAAGCCAGTGTTCCAGTCACGAGTACATATATCAAGATAAAGTAGAGTCCAGTTTGGGCCAAACAATCAACGACTTTCATGGAAACGGACAAATGAAATCAAAGGAAGGTACTTGTTCTGAAGTCAGTACAAAACTTTGGACCAGACCACGTTTTACAGCATTTCTTGTGCTCAAATGTATACATGTGCAAATTATCCAATTCTTTTTGAATACTTGAAATACCCTTGACTGCATTCTCATATAATGAGGTGTTTTGAAGGCTGTAGTAGTGTGACCATAAAGGAATGATTTCAGAGAGTTTTTGTCAAATTTCAGCATGTCCTAACTGATCGTGCTACAGCATGACTGCCCCATTGACCACTCCCAGGGGCGGAGCCTGGTCCTGCTACAGTGTGACTGCCCCATTGACTACTCCCGGGGGCGGAGCCTGATCCTGCTACAGCGTGACTGCCCCATTGACCACTCCTGGGGGCGGAGCCTGGTCCATGTCTTGCTCCTCCTCCACTTCTTCTTCCTCTTCCATCTCTTCTGAGAAAACAAAAACAAAAACATTTCTAGCAAACCACGAACACTTTAGCAAGTGCCTGTGAAATGCCAAATTCGCCATCCACAAATTGCAAACGATCTTCAACAGCGAAGCATGCTTCAAACATATATCGTCTGAATAGTTGTTTGCTCAACAACTGTGTTTTGCAAGAAACTGTTAAACATACAAATGAAAGTCACATCTGTAGTTTTCTAGTGTTTCATAATAGCGGGAATATGACTATTTTTATGCCTTGCTTGTTCAAATTTTGGTGAAACTTTTTCCAAAATGACTGGCATAGAAATTTGTGAGCCACAATTGGTATGTTTTATATTTGTTAATCATGGCAATATCTATAATCATGGTTAACTTTATTTTTTTATATTTTTGGAAGAAATATTTCCTTGGGGTTTTATATTTTTTTATCTTGTGGGGATCTTGTCTCTTTCTCCAGCTGTAAAAAAAATGACAATAAATTAAAAGCTTTGCCATCGAAATAAGTTAACTTCAGAAGAACTAAAAACGTCTATGCTGAACAGAATTTTGCAGCATGAGATTCTGAGTTTTGAAACATTCAAACTTTAATTGTGGGTCGCAAAAGCCAAAGGCGATAGTTTCTCCTGCATACAGCTCTCGAATCAACTTCACTCAAAAGACTGGTTGGAGTCTGAATGCTGATAATTACCTGAGCCGAAGGTCATTATCAGCTTCCAGACTCCAACCAGTCTTAAACAAAGTGTTTAATACCGACCAAGCACATATTTATTCCCATTCATAAATACCTTTTCGGTCAAAAACTCAAACCTTTTAGGTCAAAAAGTCAAAACAAGTCAAAAATTACAAATTGCTAACGGTTCAACAATTTTACTTCATGTTTTTCGAAACACTCCTTTAGCTAGATTGTATGTCCCTCTCGCGAGTTCGTCGCAAACAATTTCTTATACAACAATTCCATACTGCGCGATGTGGTGCAGAACGCAGCTGTGCCGGTGTATTGTGAATTTAGCACTATGAAATGCTGACTCCCTGGTAGCATTGCGCATGCCTACATGAAGATTGTGAACGTTCAACCAATAAAACGGTAAAAGGCACCAGACTTCATAGTAGTCCAAAGTTCATGTGACACTGGAAAAGTGTTTAAGACCAGCCAGCCATGTCTTTATCAACCATTTAAAACCGACCACGTGACGGGCTCTCGACCAATAGGAATGGGTAAACTGTCTTAGGCATTGATGAATGCGAGATAATACAAGTAGAAATCACAGAATTATGGCCACCAAACTTTAGTAAAAGTAAGAATGACCCCAAAAAACAACAAACAAACAAACAAAACCAAAAACCTGTTTGGTTTTTGTTGTGGGCGTCTTTCCCTGGAACCTGTCCTGTCTTGAGCATTTGGTTCAATCTCTCAACCTCCTCCAGAGATTTGGCATTGACGATGGCAGCCTGGAAAACACGGGAAAGAAAATAGTGCAATGAACAGCGGGCAGTGCCTCGTGGCCCAATGGTTACGGTTCGTGTTCATACAATAGTACGCGGGTTGTATGGCCTGGTTATGACACCTCTTTTGTCTCTGAATATCTGAACGATTGTGGGGGGGAAAAATGAGCAATTGTAGAGGTACATGTACAAGCTTTTTCCAAAAGGCTAGTGGGAGCTTGACCATTTGTAAAGCATCTTAAAAATCTGTTTTTATCCCATTTTATGAGTTAACTTTTCATTCGCTACAATACGACAGCGGGAATTTCAAATGCCATTTTTTCCTTTCAATTACTTTTGCAACTTCAATTTGGTGGTCAATGAACTCAGTACCCCCAAAATGTTATATACCATTAGAAAGCTCTTGTTCTGCAGAATCCCAAAATACAAATATCTGAAATCATAAAAAGTCTAAATTTTTGCTCATTTTGTTGAGACAGGTCACATGACAAACAGGGATAAGTTAAACTTATGATGCCCAACCATGAAGCACACAGGGATCTTAAAACCATGGTAGATATTGCATTTGTTAAAAGGTAGTATTATTCAAATACACCTGTCATCATCATTTACCTTGATAGCAGCGTAATCCTGCGGTGATGGTCCAGGCTTTGCGTCCCCCTCACCACCCACGGGTGCCCCTGGTACAAACCTGCAATGATAAAATGACAAGTGACACTATTGGACTATTTCAATTTACCAATTCCTTCAAAACGTCTATGTACTTGTGCAGGACGCTATTAAAGAGGCAGAAGAAATCCTCATTAAAGGTACAGTCCATCATTTGTAATCTGTTGATTATGTTCATTTGAAGCAACAACAGTGCTCAAAATCTAAAGAAGGGTGCTGAACAACTAACCTAATGAAGTTTTAGCTCAGTGAATGCTGTATATTCCAAGAACACAATATTCTAGGATCTCTATTCCAAATCAGAAGTTGCTGAATCATGTTTTAAATTGGGCCTGAATTCAGCATCCGAGACACATTCTCACTGAGCCGATTGCAGCCACGCGATGTCGAGCACTGATCTGACGACCACGCGCGCGTGTGCGTCGTGTCAATGCTTGCATGCATTTCGCCAAATAAAAACACAAGCTACTAACAAAATTTCCAACGATGTGCCTAAAGTTGGAAAGGCCTTCTTTCATTGATTTCTGAAAAACGACAGCTTGCCAGACAGAATCATTTCACAGGGAGTTTCGTCCCCTTACTATCTTTCAACCAAGTATGTTTTTCAACAATAATTACGTCAGTTACTTTTTGGATAGCTGCAAATGATGGACTGTAGCTTTAAGTGACTTCAATGCTGAATGTGCAGAGTATTTCCCAAACAAGGATATTTTGTGAATTTTTTTTCCTGTTTGTGGGGAGGATTAATTGGCAATTACTACAAAATGGCTAACATCACCCATGAGAAGACAATACATATTACAAGGGGATGCACGGATAGCACGTGACGCCTTTTTTTGCGGTCGATCCATATATGTTTTGTGTTCTTAAAAACAGTCTTAAAAACAGCCTCAAATGACACCCCCCCCCCCCCAAGTTTGAGAGTTTGGCGCCGCTACTGGTCACATGTACTTTGTGCCATTATCAGGCAAACCAGTGCACCCATGCCCATAACACCATCTATCACTCCTGAACAGAAGCATATCCCACTGGTCGGCAGAAAAAAGGGTTAAAAGGAAGAGCACTCACGTCTTAGATTTCCTGCCAAGGTCTTTGGACAACTGTTGTCCTTTTTTGCCTTTGAACAGATGTGCAGCAGCTTCTCGTTCCTGTAAATGGATCCAACAAAATGAGTCTTAAGGACCTTTTCACTCACAGGGTTTTGGACTTGTATTAGTCAGAGCATCCTCAGTTCTTCCTTTTTCACATGCCTCAGTTTGCTATGTTCATAAATGTGGACATTATGTTGGTCAATACACTAAAATGCCGCTGTAACGGACACGACTATAACGAACATCCCCTTTCGCTCCCGAAATAGTATACAAATATTGAGTGGCTCAGAGTGAAATGGGAGGAATATTATTGCCAGGTAAAATCTGGACTTTTCCATTTCACGCGGCGAAGCCGAGCGAGTGAACTGGAAAAGTCCAGATTTTACCGAGCGATAATATTCCTCCAATTTCACAATTTAAAGCCACTCCATATTTGTTTTATATAACTGACATATAGATCTTTGTCACTTGATATATTTGAACTTTTATTTCAATACAAAATTGGTGGGAAATGTATTTCTCTCTTCCAAACCACCCCTACACGAAAATGTTTGAACCCATCTCTGTAGCGCTGGCTCTTTGGAACAATACGGGCTATGTGCAAGGTTGAACGCGCACACCAGCATGCATTTGCACACAAATACCGCGTCATGAAACAAGAATGATCCTAACTGCTGCACAGTATTCCCATTCCCCATGGGCGAATGGGGCTTTTTGAGCCCCGGTGTGAATGGGAGCAATAAAGAATGTCACGTGATGTGAGTTCCACCAATCAAATGACAAGGATCTGTATGTCGGTTATATAATAAATTCTGTTGTAATGCACAATCATTATAACAAAGAACCGCTATGAAAAAAATGTTCATGGGCTCCATAGTGTTTGTTATAGTGGCGTTCTACTGAACACTGGCTGTTTGTATTGATTTCCCTTGCACAAAATTTCCCGGAGCCTGTAATTATAACATACCTCTGGCCCCTGGATCACACCCACTTTTACCAACCAAATTTTGAGTCTTGCGTTTTGTCTTTCATTGGAGTAATGTAGTACAAATAGGACCAACTGCTACACATTGTTTTATGAGAGATGGTCAGGAAATCAAGATGCACTTACTCTTTGTCGTACTTTTCTGAAGTCCAGCACCCGGATCTGTGGTATCTTGTGGATGGTGTACAACCGGTAATGCTTCCGACTCGTCACTGGATTTCTTAACAAGCTGAACAACAATCGGCAATAAGCCATGTTAGACCATTGACAAACGTACCATAAACCATGTTAGATCATGTTTGCTAAATGTATTTCAAAAATGGTAAACTGTTAAATGGGATGGTGCTGCACTATTAACCCTAACCCCCTAGGCCCTTGTTGCTTACAACCATCCTCAATCCTCCAAAATCCTCCAAAATTTTCCAAAATTTTGCAACTCCGCCTAAATTTTTCAAAATTGTCAGACAGTCCTGCCTCAAAATGCATTCATCCTCAATCCTCCAAAATCCTCCTCATCCCAAAACTTTGCACTCGTGTTTAAATGAAGGATAACCTACGCCAAATCCTTCAAAATCATCAGACAGTCCTGCCTCAAAATGCATTCATCCTCAATCCTCCAAAATCCTCTTGTGCTTCAATCACCATTCATCCTCAATCCTCCAGAATCCTCATTTGATTCAATCACCATTCATCCTCAATCCTCTAGAATCACGTTAAAATTGTGCAGCAGCAGGATTCCAGTCAAACCAGTGAGTTTGGCGGTTTTGAGACATCATCTTTCATTGAAAAAAAAATGTTTTCATTTTGCTGACGTGCATGGCTACGGCGACGCGCGCGCATACCAGAAACCGGAGACTTTTTTTTTGGCCTTACAGTATACAGTCGAGTCTCATTAATACAAACTCATTCGGACCTAGCCAAATTGTTTGTTATATCAGAATTTTGTATTAAGAGGAACATCAGTCCCATTCATTGTGCACATACATGCACAGTCGGGACCAAGGCTTAGTGTTTGTTATAACCAGAATTTTGTATTAACAGAGTTTGTATTAACGAGACTCGACTGTACTTAATCAAAAATTTTAAATATTTCATCAGAGCAGGCTGGTATTAATTTGTATTAACTTTATGTCACTGCTTTCATTTCTATTCCAAAGTTCCAAAAATGAAGAGTTTAGCTTGTTTCAATTGAATATGGCCGACTCGCGAATAAAGTCTATTCTCAGTAACTTTATATCCAAATTGCAAGTACGTTTTGGTAGATGCCCCCTTGCAGTTATTTTGGAGGCTGTACAGTAAAAAGGAAGCACTAGTTTTATGGCCTGGGCTGCAAATGCCATGGAACTTTCTGTTTAATTTCATTTTAATTCAGTGAAGCCGTGTATAGGTGCGCCCAAGTGCTGACACAAGGCACACGTGCGCCAGGTTGCTACAATTCGTCGGTTCAGTGCGTGACATCGCGTAGCTGCAATCTGCTGAATGACAAGCATCCCGGACGCTGATTTCAGGCGCAATTTAAAACATGACTCGGCAACTGTTGAATTGAAATCACTTTCCAGAATATTGTTTTCTCGGAATATACAGCATTCACTGAAGCAGAACTTCATCAGAATGATTATTAAGCATCTGTCTTTAAATTTTGAGCACTGTTGTTCCCTCAAACAATACAAATGGGCAATTCCACGGTTACTCACGTTACATTTTTGATGTACTTTTGAGTTTCCTTGGGCTGTAATTACCTTACTGAAAAGGTTTAATAACTGTTATCTCCATGGTAGATAGAGTAGACCTAGACCTACCTAAGCACCAAAGATGACATCCAGAAAAATGTGTTATGTATGATAAACAAGACTCACAAAATCGGTTACTCACGTTACAAAAATGTAACGTGAGTAACCGTGGAATTGCCCAAATGCACAAATGACAATGATCTACCTTTAAGCAAGTCAGTCTGTCAATCATTCAGATACACAGGGGACTAAATGCTGGCCACTCTGATACCAGCGAACATTAGATTCTGAACAAAAATTAAGTTACTACCACTGCACTGACCTTAATGATGTAAGTGTCTTGATACTTGCCATGGGATCCAAGTCACCCTAAAAAAGTGCCACATAAAAATAAAACAATATCAAAATATGCACAGATGGTATAATTTTCATCAAGGTATGGGCTCCTTGCACAAGTACCCCCCTCAACAGTAAGAAAGGGAGAGATTGGGGAAGACCACTGGGGTAGACTTTGAACACAATGCTGATGATGCCTGTACACATGTGGAATAAACTTAGTCATGCATATGCACACAAACCAGTATGTGCATGCGCTGTGTCCCGTCAACTTGGCTCTTATAAGTGGTGAAAAAGGGCCTATCTTGTTTGCGCAAAACAACTGGAACCAGCAAAACATAGCAAAACAAATTGAACCAACTCTAGACATCCCAAATCATTTTTTTTAACCCCTTCTGTGGGAACATGCATTGTCAGCCTGGTTATTACTTGGGTCAATATTGGCGAAGACCCCCATTGGTTTGTACACAGTATGCCAGGAGGTGAGATACAAACTTTTTGACCATTGGTGACCTCTTAAAATAGTAGGAGGGTTAATAACATGTAGGTGTCGTTTCAATATGGTTTTGGAAAATTTGCAGGGCAAATACTGTCAACTGGCCGATTGTATCAGGATCATTTGTTTCACTGTGTATTATAAACAATCCTGTTATTCCAAAAGTGGTTGATATGAAAAGATTTCCAGAGTAAGGCAAAAAATTGATTTTACCAGTTCTTGCATGAGGTTGTTGGTGAGGATGATAGAATCAAGACGGGGCAGGTTCTGCTCTAAGCCCTCGGTGATCCGACTGAAAGAAAGAAAATCAAATCTTTTATATCCAGTTTCTTTTTTATTTACCATTCATCGACAGACTTCCTATAAGCGTGGTGTTTTCGGTGCGGTTCAATTTGGAGGGGGGGATTCACAAATTTACTAGTGTCAATACAGATATGATGTCAGTGTGAATCCCGATCTATAAAATGCTTGCAAAATTTGCTTCTTTGTGATGTTTATTTCTCATCACATTTGAGGCAAAATATCTGAAGAAGTCAAACGTGACCAGAAACTTTTCACGTCTAAAATGTGTATCATTGATCTTTTCATTTGGAAGGTCAAAGGGCTGTGTACATGTACATTGTTTGTTTGCTTTTTCACTGCCCAAACTTAAACTTCAACTCTACTTCTGTTTACACATAATTTTACATCCACTTCTCTGTCTTAACCCTAGCCAAAATCAACCAGCCGGTTTTTGGAAGATTTTGAAGGATTGAGGCTGTATTCCAAAAAAAGTATCGGTTGATTGTGAAAGATGCATTGTTTCAAGGTCTTGAGCTTTATCCTGCATTGTTTATGATCATCCATGCATAATGGAGATCCACGTTATATTGGGCATATCCCTAGTGCTTCTGGCTATCATCCGCACTGCCTCAATAAATGGTACATGTTGGAAGATTTTGAAGTGTCGATTTGGAGGATTTTTGAGGATTTTGAAGGATTGAGGATGGATCTCAGCAAAAAGGGTCTTGGCAGTTCGGGTTAAATTGTTATAGTTCATTTCTACGATGTAAATGATGAAGAAGTTAATACAAGTCTATACCCCATACCTTAAAGGAAACATGCAGTGGAAATTCAGCTCATCTTGTTTTCATGCACATTACTATGTGTTGCAACAATACATACAAGATCTTAACCCTAACCGCCCTGAATCCTCCGAAATCCTTTTTGCAAATTGGAGGAATTTGCAGGATTGACGTTACATGGCAAAAGTGCGTTGCTGATTTCGGAGTACGCACTGTGTCAAGGTCTTGGGCCGGACCTTGTGTTGTTTATGCTCAGCCGTGCATAAATTTAGTCCTTGATTATACTTGACATCCTCCGTACTGCTCCAGGATGTCACTGCCTCTGCCTCAGCCTATTGACAGACATAGCCGGAGGATTTTGCAGGATTCAGGCAGTGGTCATCCCTCCATGGACCATATTCAAGAAATAACGGAGGAATTTGCAGGATTGAGGCTATATGCTATTTTTCCATGGGGCCAATTGGAGGATTTTGTAGGATTGAGGCTACATCCTAGCAAAATGGCCTAGGGAGTTAGGGTTAAAGGAAACATGCAGTGGAAATTCAGCTCATCTTGTTTTCATGTACATGTACATTACTATGTGTTGCAACAATACAAGATCTTAATACTTGTTTTCATTGGAAGTGACAAGAAAATGGTAATTTTTCATTTATTAGCAAATCCTTTCATCAGTACATGCAAGAGGGCACTAATTTGCTTTTGTCACACAAGGTACTACTTGTCAAAAGTGCATATGAACAGTACAAAAATTAGTCCTTCAAAATTACCCACAAAAAAAGTTTTAAAGAAATATTGGCCACTACTATTGTCAAAACAAGCTGTTTAACATGATAAAGTAAAAAGTGGAACTCCAAGAAAATGAAGAAAAGTGTGATATATTTGTACACAAAGCTATGGAGACACTACTGTTATGGAGATTTTCATGAGCATAAAAACTAAAATGTTGAAATTTTTCCCTTTTACTGCTACAAAGGACGTGGAAAGTCATAGTTATATGGCAAGAAAGCTGTTTTAAAATGTTTTCAGTCATAAAAATTCTCAGAAGAATTCATTTGATGGTCCCTTTAAGTTCCGTTTTACTTTACCATATTCTGTTGTTGTTGAGCAACAGGCATTTCAGTCGACGCAGTAAGGGAAACCCTTCCAGTTTCCTGAGATCATTATCTGAGAAATCGATGGTATCAAACTGGTCCAAGGTGGCTCCCAAATTCTCAATCAGTGGGATTTTGTAACCTACAAGGTAAAATAAACAATAAAATTGACAACAAACACTGTAGTTAAGTTGTCATCATTCTTATGATCCAATAAACTTTAATAATTATCTAAGGAAAAGGTTTGGTAAGAAAAACATTACACATATAATACAGTCATTGTCATTCCAAACAAGTAATGGGTAAATAGGTATAAATTTGGGAGAGAAATGTTTTTAGTTTTCTAAGAAAATAATATTCATGACTCCCTGTAATTCCTGTTAATGTCCCCTTAATAAAAACATTTTTTTGTCTTAAGTTATACCTTAGGGAGACACCGAAGATTAAGAAGACATTTCAATGTCTCCCTAATATCACAACTCCTGTTTAGAGGCCAAATTTTACCATCACAAATAGGCTAGATCATTTGCTCATGGTCAAAAACGTAAATATACCAGAATTCGTTGGGGGTAGGATAAGGGAAATTGGGGAGCCGGGTCATTAACCCTAACCCACCTCACTCCTCCAAAATCCTCCTGGCGGTTTTGGAGGATTCTAGAGGATTGAGGATGAATGGTGATTGAATCAAATGAGGATTCTGGAGGATTGAGGATGAATGGTGATTGAAGCACATGAGGATTTTGGAGGATTGAGGATGAATGGTGATTGAAGCACAAGAGGATTTTGGAGGATTGAGGATGAATGCATTTTGAGGCAGGACTGTCTGACAATTTTGAAAAATTTAGGCGGAGTTACAAAATTTTGGAGGATTTTGGAGGATTGAGGATGGTTGTAAGCAACAAGGGCCTAGGGGGTTAGGGTTAAAGTTGGAAAAGTTTGGTGTACAACCCTATGGGAATGTCCCTTTAAGGTACCATTCCCCGTAATAATAAGATAGTGGATATTTTGCCGGAGGTAACATAGGAGGTAATGACGGCAAACTAACGATTACTAAAGGTTTGCCGGCGGCAATCCATATCAACAGAGGGCGCTGTACTCTTTAAAATAGGGCTGAATTATAAGATGTATTAAATTCCCACCAAAGTTGTGAAGCACGTTTGGTGTAGTGGTTAAGCAAAGGCTCTAGTAAGCGGGTAGACCCGTGAACGTGGCTTGTAAACTACGCCACGTTCTTATGTCATTTCGAACCTGGCGAACGTGTCCCTCTGACTCCCTCCGTTACACACTGGACGTTATTTTGCCCATGTAATAAGTACTCACATATGAAGCTGTCTTGAATTCTATTTGTACGTCAAAAGTTGCATTTGACGAAAATTGAGGAAAATTCTGGCCCCGGTTCATGAAGTCCGTCCGCTACTGCTAGCTGCCATTTTCTCCCAACTGACGCATGCGCATTGCGTTTTATTTTCGTATGATTCGACGGCTGTTTACTGTCGCAGCTAAAACAGACATCGTTTTAGACAAGTTTCAAGTCCTTTCCTCTCTCACCGCACCGCACGCGGTCGCACGTGCGCCCGCGTGTGTGTGCACACACGTACTGTACACGAGATGAGCTGAGCAGCCAATCGTCTGCGGGGGGTTTTTTTTCGGGGTTGCGACATGAAACAGCCGTCAATCTGTCCAAGCGAGTATGCATAAACAGTCTGTGACGTATGACCTCGTGTTTTTGGACGTACGGCCCCGCCGCACGCACGTCCAAAAACACGAGGTCGTACGTCACAGATTGTTATGCATATTCATGAGTTTGCGCGGGCGCGCCTGCATATTGCATTCATTACAGCGCGGCCGCCATTTTGAAATCGCATGGGGGATCGCATGGGGGACGATATTTGTGGAATCTTATGACTGAAATTCGTCTTGTGGCCAGATGGATGAAAATATTGAGGCCAACCAACGTTTTTTCGAAAAGGTATGAGTTGCTCTACGACTACGAACCTTAACTTTGGAAATTTGTGCCCCGGATGAAAAGATAATTGCGATCGAAAGATGTAGCAAAATCGCTACATCGGCGGCCACAAAATTCAGTCTTTTTGGAAGCATTCAGCGTCTGGTCGTACTACAGAGCTTGCGATAGTACTGTACGGCCAGACGCAGTCGGGCTACTATACTACAAGTTACGAGAAAAATTCGCTCCAGCCCTAATAGACAACCCAATGATAAAACTCAGGGCTGGGTAACTCCAGCTAATGGAGAGTCAAAAAAGTATTTCCTATTCCTAACAAAATTGGAAATGTTTCTCACTCTCAGTCCCAGATTCATGTCTTATTATCATTTTGCAATGACTGACCACCATTTAGATGAAAGATGAAAAGAGAAGTGGCTTCAGGTTGCAACATTCTTTCCAAGTTTACTTTTGTTTTGGTAAAGACTATGAACAGTCATGTGTCGAAAATACACGGTTTCAGCATATCGCCTGCACTTACCACGCAAATCGAGTTCCCTTTCTCGCAGCGCGTTTGTGTATTGTGAGCTCTGCTCAATTAAGTCTGCTGTTAACTTGGGCATTCTGTTGTGCTTTCCAGGACAAACAGTATGTCCAAATGTCCCCTGCAAAACGAGACAATAAACTACACTTCAAAAGGTAAGTAGATTCAAATCATTCAAAATACAAAGTTTTCTCATCTGGAGCACGACATTCCCACGTTTTCTCTCGGTTAAGCGTCGTTCTAGTTAGGATACCCGTCTAATATATTGGAAATATACTCTTTTAAGTCTAGATACTAGACTGGTCCCGACGCGCGTTTGGTATGACGCCCTCTTTTGACCATTTTACCATTCTAAAAAAAAGTTTTAAAGTTTGTTCGCACATCATCGTCCGCAGCCACAGCTAGCAGGGAAGTCAATCGCTTCTCAAAAGTGTGGGGGGGATACCTTGATCAGAACTGATGCAAGCGCGAAGTGCGAAGCCTTTACGGCGTGGGGTTCGGGGCCCGCCAGTGGGCCCCGAAAACAAATTGGATTCTAGATGCTTTGTGGTGTGATCCGGCTGAGGCCATTTCTGACCACTTTCATCAGCTGCTATATTAAGCAATATGTTCTTAGCAAAAGATTATAATTTGAACATCGTTTTCGAGGTTGGAATCATTGAATCAGCTATTCTGAGCTACAGGCGTGGGGTTCGGGCCCGCTTTTGGGCCATTATGATTCTGAGCTAGAGAATACCTCTTTGCACTGTACTGCACATCAGTACAGTGAAATCTCGATGAGTCAAATAAAACTCTGATAACTAAAACAACTGTTTAGTCAAAGAAGCCATTGCATTCAGTAGTATCACAATGATATACACAATATCTCTGCTTAACTCAAAACTCTGCTTGAATCAAATTTTGAACCTGTTCCCTTGAGGTTTGACTTATCAAGATTTCACAGCAATAATACTGCTCGTCTGTCACTTGAGACTTAGACAGGTTGTAGACTGTTGAAGCCGGGCAGTGATATCGTATAGGATTACCTCTCGTAACACCAATGAATGGGTTAAATCCGACCCATTGAGACCAGGTTCATGATGAAAAGACTTCCCAGTGAATATCTATATTTTGTATCAATTGAGCAGAATCATTTTGAGCTCTTGGACCAACTTGATTAAAGTTATCTAGTCTTATTTAATTAGAGTGAAGCATGTAATTTATCATTATCTTGATCATTTTTTGAACGGTACTTGTCCGCCATGCATAATGGCTAATTGAAAGAATAGAAGCTTGACTCTTTTTAGAGTTGTTTTTTACTGGGCCCATGGTGAAAAGAAACACTCCAAAAAGAGTGACACCACAAGACAAGAAATAGACGTACCAAGACAATAGATAGACGCGAGACAAGAGATGGACGCAACAAGACACTACGTAACAAGACAATAGACGTAACAAGACCGCGGATATATATATACGTACCACGAGAAGAGATATACGTAACAAGACAAGAGATAGACGTAACAAGACAAGGGATAGAACAAAACAAGATCGACGTACCAAGACAAGATCGTGATAGACGTAAAGAGATAGACGTAACAAGACAAGAGATAGACGTAACAAGACTAGTATTAGACTGTATTTTTCATTAATTTGTTCAATCAAGTTAGTTTTTCCTCGTTTTTTTTTCTTTAAAAGGTTCAACTTTTGTGGGTCGTCTGTATTGACATTGAGACTGTATAAAGGGCTTTCATACCCCACTCAACCACTTAAAAGTTCATAGGTTCAGAGTTTGACGTCATTAGTAATTTGCTTAAGGGTTGGGTATTATCTGATCTATTTTTGAGGGATTACAGCAACTACATTACTTTAATACATTTTGAAACATTAAGTTTATAGAAGTTCAGTTTGTGAAGAGAAACAGTTCAAGTCAAGACGTTCTTGCAAACGACGCACATCTTGCTGCCGCAACTTTCAGGAGCGGACCCATAAACTATTACTCGGCTAACTCGTGAGTTGGTGAGTTTTCACATGTTTATATGGTCAATTTAACACCGACGCAAAAAAAAAGCAAATACAAGTGTATGAGCAAACTGGACCAGTAGCATATCCCGGAGTACTTTTTTATTTCTAAAAAGCCGCATGGCCCCATTTGTTTCGTTCGTATGGTGATACCACATGTGAACGGTGGGTGAGTGGGGTGGTATTGAACTATTGAAATAATGAAACTATAAATATTGAAATTATAGGAAACTAGGTTACAGGCCTACACCAGAGTCTGATTCCGAGCCTTTTCGATGGGTTGCAGACGCCAACTTAGAAAAAAAAATGAAAATTCGTCAAAGAAAAGATTCAATTCGTTGAAATCCACGAACAGTATATAGGGCCTATACAATTTTGTAGGAACTAATCAATCTCTGTGAAAACAGTTTGAATTCCTTTGTAAGGCCCTAAATGATTTTATCCGCCTGACGATTTTTTTATTGCTCGGGAAAGCTTCATTTTTTCAACGGCCCTTTCTTGGTTTTTTTTTAAAACATAAATAAATATCATAAATAAATATCTGAAGTTTTTGGGATGGGGAAGGGGGCGGTAGGCCGATCGAACAGGTCACGTGCTTGACACACACTTACGCATTCGTTCCCAGATTTGAACGCCAAAATCATGATGCAACGCGGCTTTACCAGCCGACGAACTATAAGCGGGGTTGAGTCAAGAACCTTTCCTGAAATTTGAGCGCGGAATCTTTTCGTCTGCTTCTTGGTGCAGGTGCTACGCGTCCGGCCGTACTCAAGTATTCGATCGATCGGAGTTCTACCAGCTTGTCTTATTTTGAACAACAATTTCAGGCAAGAATTGAGCAGTTTTAAGCGCAATGTTTGCCCAGCTGGTCTCACGTTGACATCTGAAGCAAAATCCAAGCATAGCCCGTCAATGTTTGAGCCAAATTTGAGGGTAACGTTACTTGTTAGTTGTAGGTGAACCGATGTGCAACCAGCATAATAAATCGGTCCCTTTATTCAGCTGCACATGTTTACACTGATTATCATACCAAACTGCATCTGCTGCATGATGAAGCCGCGCCAGTACACTGTGTGAATGCCACCATTTGGGAATTTAAACTTTATGGGCCAGGTGCAAAATGTGCATATTGGCTTTGAAGTATCAAGTGGGAAACATAAAATGTTGCAACTTGACGCCACTTTTGGAAAGATTCCCATATCTGGCCATCACTTGTCACCCTGTGCACAAACCCGTGGGACTGGTCTGAAAGTTTCTAAGACTAGTGTTTTCTTAGTAAAAAGTTCAATATTTGCCCAGCTAAATTTTGCTTTTGTAGGGTTTACCATCACTTTCTGATTGCTGATGATAGGTCACTGAAGGGAAAAATTAGTGATGGCCAGATATGGGAATCTTTCCCAACTGTTTTCTTCATATAATCATCTCAATGAAGGTCAGTCATGTCAGTCATTGCAACAATGATGATAAGAGTGGGACATTTCCAATTTTGTTAGTAAATACTTAGAAAATTTTCTTGACTCTCCGTAGACTTTGTACACAACCGCTGAAGTAGCGTCAGGTTGCAACATTGTTTTCCTATGGGACTGTGAAATATTTCCAGTGTTTGAAAATACTTTTGAAAATGCACTCAACTCCACAGACTATATAAGGCCTGCAGTACCAACCAAAAAAGTGGATACTACATTCTTTCCTTTTCTTATTTTTGGGAAGAATATCATGTTTGGGCATTCCAAGATGCCTAACGTTAGTTTCAATGTAATTTCTTGAAAGGTTTGAGAATTTCCTCGGAAAATGATATGGAAACTACCAACTTTTTCTGCCAATTTAACTTTGAATTGTGTGTTATTTACCAGGTAAAGTGTTTGTGTAAATCACAAATATAGGCCCAAGGTGTAAAAAAAAATATATTTTCAACCCCCCACCCAAAATGCAAAATTTCAACACAAATCAGAAAGCATATGGAAAGAATTCCAAACCTGGACACAACTTGTCACCCTGTGCACAAACCCTATTAGACTATTAAAATTTCTAAGTGGTTTCTCAGTAAATACTTCAATATTTTCCCTGCTGAATTTGACATTTTTGTAGGACATATTATCACATTCTGGTGGCTCATAGGTCACTGCAGGAAAAAAAATAGTGATGGCCAGGTATGGGAATCTTTCTAAGACTATAGACACCACTTCTCTGGTTGAGTCCTATTGAGAGTCAAGTGCATTTTGAAAGTATTTTCTAACAAAATTAGAAATGTTTACCAGTCCAAGATTTATGTCTTTTCACAAAATTTTGCAATTGAGATAATATAATTACGATGAAAAAAGTGGTGTCAGGATGCAACAGTCTTTCCCATCCTTTAATACACAAACACAGTTTGTATGTGTTAATGCTGTATAAGTCTCATTTAAAAGAGATTGAAAATATTCACAAAACCAAACTTTTGGTGTTACACTTTGGGAAGGAAATAGGCTTAGGCTGGATAAACACTTCATGTTTGTCCCCTTGACTTTCCCCATTCAGTGAGCATTACTAAACTTGTTGTTTTAATTGCTTCAAATTCATCAGGAGATGTACTTTGACCATAGAGCTGTGACCTTAAAAATGTATTGGCACAGATATTGTTTTCTTCAAACAGTTTTTCAGTTTGTATTAAATTTTTTTTTTAATGGGAAAAAATACTTGTTTTCTATTTTTGACATCTTCAACCTTATGAGAAAAAACTGTTTTATTCATGGTGCCTATACATCACCCATTCTGATTTAAAGGTATAGTCCATCATTTGTAATTTGTGCATTATGTTTGTTTGAAGCAACAAAAGTGCTTAAGATTTAAAGAAGGATGCTGATCAACTAACCTGATTAAGTTTCAGCTCAGCTTCAGCTGCATATTTCGAGAAAAACAACATTCTAGGATCTCGATTTCAAATCAAAAGTTGCTGAATCATGTTTTGAATTGGGCCTGAATTCAGCGTCCGAGACTCGTTCTCACTGAGCCGATTGCAGCTACGCGATGTCGCGCACTGATCGGACAAATTAAAGCAACTGCATGTGCGTGTGTATCGTGCCAATGCTTGTGGGCGCTTCGCTGAATAACAAAACGAACTACTAATTTGATTTCCTACGGTGCTTCTTAAGAAGCACCATTGGAAAGGCCTTCTTTTGTTGATTTCTTCAAAATGACAGCTTGCCAGAAAGAATAATTTCACAGGGAGTTTAGTCCTCTTACTATCTTTCAACCAAGTATGTTTTTTCAACAATAATTATGCCAGTTA